GCGATACCACCACGGACAAGCTCTTTGCCCGCGGTGTTCCCTGTGTCTTCCTTGGCTTTGTCCCTGACGCGCCCGGTTGGCAGTTTTACCACCCCACCTCGCGTCGTGTCTTCCCCTCTCAGGACGTCACGTTCGACGAGTCGGTTCCCTTTTACCGTCTCTTCCCCTACCGCAATGCCCCTCTCCCCCCCCCCCCGCCGCTCTTCCTCGCTCCAGGTGCTCCCCAGGTAGACCCCCTCCCCGATCCCGGTCCTGCTCCTTCAAGTGTGTCTCAGGTAGACCCTCCTCCCTTGCCTGCGCCGGTTGAGGTCACTGGTGACTCAGGTCCTGCTCGGGGTGCTGCTTCTGGGGATGCGGAGCCTGGGGGTGCGGAGATTGGAGGTGCAGAGCCTGGGTGTGAGGAGTCTGGGGGTGCTGAGCTTGGGGGTACTGAGTCTGGGGGTGCTGCACCTGGGGGCGCTGAGGCGTCTGGTGAGCAGTCTCCCTGGGGCGGCCGTCTCCGTAGTCGCTCCGCTGGTACCTCGCCACTGCACTCTCGTCGTCGACTCCCTCTCCCCCCACAACAGCTGCGTGAGTGGTACGCTGACCGTCAGGGTCGCGCTGCAGGAGCTAGGGGCCCTGCTGCGGGAGGCGCTGGAGCTGGTGACTCTGCTACTGGAGTTGTTTCTGCTGGAGGTTCTGAAGCTGCTAAGGGTGCTGGAGATGGAGGCTCTGGGGCTGCTGAGGGTGCTGGAGCTGGAGGTTCTGGAGCTGTTCCGGGTGCTAGCGCTAGAGGTTCTGGAGCTGCTGCGGGTGCAAGCGCTGAGGGTTCTGAGTCTACTGTTGTGCGGTCTCCTTGGAGTAGCCGCCTTCGTCCGTGTGTGCCTCTCACCTCACAGCAGCTTCACGACTGGTACGGTCGCCGTCAGGGTTGCGCTTCTGGAGCTCGAGGCTCTGCCGCTAGAGGTACTTCTGCTGGCGTCACTGAAGCTAGGAGTGGTGCTGGTCCCGGAGGTGCTTGTACTGGAGGTACTGGAGCTGCTGGGGCTGGAGGTGCTGAGCCTGAGGGTGCTGCTGCTGGAGGTACTGAGTCTGAGGGTGCTGCTGTTGGAGACACTGAGGCTAGAGTCCCTAGGACTGGAGGTGCCGGTGCTGAGGGTGCTGCTGCTGGTGGAGCTGGTCCTGGAGGAGCTGGCGTTGAGGGTTCTGGAGCTGCTAGAGGTGCTGGAGTTGCTGGGGGAACTGGAGCTGCTGGTGCTGGTGGCACTGCACAGCCGCGCCTGTTCTTTGCTCCTCCGTCTCCGTTGTCTCAGCCACCGCCTGACTCTGTGCTTCGCCAGGTTCTTAGTCTCCCTTCGTCTACTGGTCTTTCGTTACAGCCTGGCTCACCACTGCCTGCTCCTTCTCCTTACACTGAGCTGACAGGCGGTCTTGATGAGCGTCGTGAGCCAGCGTCGCGTCCTGTCTCGCCTGTCCGTTCTGGTCATTCCGGTCGTCGTGTTCCTCGTTCGCGTCTGCCGGATATCTCAGGCACCCACCTCGTCGTCCGTCGTCCTTCCTCTCCTCCGCGGTGTGTTCCCCTGTCGTCCCCTCCTGCGTCTTCTCTGCCTACCGTTCGTGAGCCTGAGCCTGACCGCACCCGTGCAGCTCACTCTACTATCACGCGTCTGCTAGCCACAGTTGTCACTGACCCGTCGTTTGAGTCTGCTGCTGCCTCTACCTTCGTCGCTGAGCTTGTTGACTTTGCTGCTGCCTGCCGTCTAGACTACGCCGCAAGTCTTGTTGCTGAGTTTGAGTCTGTCTGTCCTCCGTCCGTCGGGGGTGAGTGTGCTCTTTGCACGGACGTCCTTGAGGACACGCAGGAGGACCTCGAGCGTCTTGCAACCGCTGCGTCTCATCTCGTGTCCATGCTGCTTGGCCCTGAGGGAGATCCGGATGCTCCAGACATCCCGACCTCACGCTCTTACGCTGAGGCGATCGCGGGTGAGTACTCCTCTCAGTGGCAGACAGCCATGGACGCAGAGATGGCATCATGGAAGTCCACAGGCACTTACGTCGACGAGGTTCCCCCTCCTGGGGCGAACATCGTCAGTGGCATGTGGATTTTCAGGGTGAAGCAACCGCCAGGTTCTCCGCCTGTCTTCAAGGCTCGTTACGTTGCATGAGGTTTCAGTCAGCGAGAGGGAGTAGACTTCTTTCAGACCTTCTCTCCCACCCCGAAGATGACCACTCTTTGGGTACTGTTGCACGTTGCCGCTCAGCGTGACTACGAGCTTCACTCTCTTGACTTCAGCACAGCTTTCTTGCAGGGCAGTCTGCACGAGGAGATTTGGCTGCGCCGCCCTCCTGGCTTCACTGGGTCGTTCCCTCCTGGTATCCAGTGGAGCCTCCGGCGGCCGGTCTACGGTCTCCGCCAGGCGCGTCGTGAGTGGCACGACACACTGAGGACTACACTTTCGGCTCTTGGGTTTGCTCCGTCGTCTGCTGACCCGTCGCTGTTTCTGCGCACCGACACTTCTATGCCGCGGTTCTACATCCTCGTGTACGTCGACGACTTGGTTTTTGCCACTGCTGACACTGAGGCTCTCGTTCTGGTGAAGTCGGAGCTGCAGAAGAGACACACGTGCACAGATCTGGGTGAGCCGCGCAGATACCTTGGCTTGCAGATCCCCCAGGACAGAGCACGTCGCACCATCACACTGACTCAGTCACACATGGTGCAGCAGTTCCTTCAGCGCTTTGGCTTCACCTGGTCCTCGGCGCAGGCCACTCCTCTGGCTACAGGTCACTCGCTCTCAGCTCCACCTTCGGACGAGTCCGTAGAGCCGAGTGGTCCTTACCCAGAGCTACTGGGCTGCCTCATGTACCTGATGACCTGCACTCATCCTGACCTTGCGTACCCTCTTGGCCTTCTGGCTCGCTACGTGGCTCCTGGTCGGCACCGAAAGGTACACATGGATGCTGCTAAGAGGGTACTACGCTACTTGTGCAGTACATCGGGCATGGGGCTCGTGCTTGGAGGACGGAGCGACTTTGTCCTCACTGGGCACTCAGACGCTTCTTGGGTTTCCGACCAGGCTACGCAGCGGTCGTCACATGGTTACACCTTCAGCCTTGGCTCTGGTTCAGTTTCTTGGCGTTCTACACGCTCGTCTTCTGTTCTCAGCTCCAGTTGTGAGGCTGAGATCTACGCCACAGCCATGGCTGCACAGGAGTTACGCTGGCTCACCTACCTGCTAACCCACCTGGGAGAGCGGCCTCGTTCTCCTCCAGTTCTGTACGTAGACAACAAGGCCACCATTGCCTTGTTTCAGGAGCACAGACTGGAGCAGAGAACGAAGCACATCGCTCTGCATTACTTCTTGGCTCGAGAGTTGCAGCAGCGAGGTCAGCTTCGCCTTGCTCACGTGGCCACTCTGGCCAACACTACTGATATATTCACCAAGGCACTTCCGTCTGGTGACCATCAGCGCTTTTGTACTTTGTTGGGCCTTGTGCCTACGTTTCCACACTTGCTGTAGTCTCTACTTGTACTGTTTTCTATATATATATATATGTATATATATATACCTGCATGCTTGCTTTTGCTAGGTAGAGAACACTGAGCTGTTCTTGTTGCTTATATACCTCTGCATGTGGACTGGCCTTGTGGCCGTTTGCTTGTGCTCAGTGTGTGTGGTGACGTTGTGATCCACCCTGTGCTGTGTTTTGTTTCTTCTCTTGACCGGTCTTCTGACCATTGCTTGCTCTGGCTATCCCCCATTTCACCTATGGGGGTGGGTCAAAACATATGCATATTAGTATCTAGGCTATATTGGGGCTAGCCTTAGGGGGTATAGAAACATTCTCGACACTCTAGACTTGTACCCCAACCTTGACCCAATCACACACAACTTCATGCCTAAGATTCTAAGAGTCAGTGTTGTCAATTGCGGGAGCTTGAACTGGTTCAGTAGCCAGGGCGGGCGCCGGAGGAGCGGTGGTGGCGCGAGCGGCCTTGGTGGTGCGGGTTGCAACGGCTTCTTTCTGCTTTTCCGTTTTTACGGACGCATAATTATTGTCGGTCGAAGTAGAGATTGTACCGGGTGCTTGCTGCTGCAATAACGAGAAAAGCGCCTGCAGCTGCTGCGCAGTCAAAGGGGTGGGGGCGTTGACTTGCGCGACGTCAGCGGAGGGTGCCGCGCGCCGGCGTTTCTGGGTCGTGGGCCTGGGTTGACCAGCGTTTGCCGCGGACAAGACGGCGGCCGCGTCAGCAGCCGTCGTCGTCTTCTGCAGCGCGCGTGCCTGCCTGCAAGGCACGCGCTCTTCAGCAGTCACGCGTGGCTGCTATGTCTTCTGACGCAGCGTGAGGGGTGCCCCCGAGCAGAAGTTCGACAGCCGAGGGTCTCTCGGCAGAAATTTCTTCGGCACTCCTTCTGCCGCGACGATCGGTTGCCCCGGCGGGAATTGAAGCTTCCACCGCGTTACCGGGGCTTGACGTGGTAGCGTTGTCGCGGTTAAGTGCCGAGTTCGCCGGAGCCATATTAGCTAAGTTGCGCTGGAGGATATCGTTTAGGAGTGTTGTCGGGGCTGTGAAGCGGAAGGGATTGTGTCTTCGCAAGAGTGACGAGAACGAGAAATTAGAACTACAAATTGAGAAATGAAAACGTGGGTGGGGACGAATGTTCCCACGTCCCTCCTTTGCAGGCAAAAGAGGGTGAGTAGCGCTTCGGCGCTATCTTTGCTGTGCTAGCCACGTACCCCTTTTCACAATACAAAATTTTAGGAAGTGTTACATTTCATTACACTTTCAAAAATTATCATGTTATCAAGGAAGTTCCGAGGGTGGTCGCTCTCTCGTAGCCATCAGGGCTGATGCGCCTGCTAAACTAAGCTATGGTGTTCTTGCCAGCTTAAGATTTGTCCAGAAACGTCACAAATCCCAGTTGAAACATTTGCAATCTGCAACCAGGCCACAATTGAATGTGCGGTATGGTCCAAGCCCCTGAAAGAAACCTAGAATCAGCTGCAGCTGCAATCGCCTATACTCTGGAGAAGCCTTGGCGCATGGCGGCCTGCCATGTGATGTCGATGCGAGCCACATCAATGGCCCCTACCTCGTGGTGCTGCCACCCCTCTAGCATGTGCACGAGCCCCCCCGCATGGCATGCATGCACCACTCCCCGCTCCAGTTGAAGCTGGGTGAGGATGAGGGCGGGGGGAGGGGGAGCGCAGGGGGCGGGAGAGGAGGGCATGTAGATTGAGTACGGGTGAGCTTCAGATATGTGTGGCTCTGCTCTGCATTCCCCTCCAGGTCCCCCCTTTCCCCCGTGCCCCAACCAGCAACCAGTTGACGCCCTCTGCCCCCCCACCACTCTCTCACCTCGCACGTGTTGAGCCCTTCAATGTCTTTGGGAAGTCTCATAGCCGCCAGCTTGCCATACACACAGTCCCCCCTGACTTCGTCCAGCGGGGGCACCACGAACTGATGGAAGAAGGTGCCCTTGGGGGCGTGGCTCTGCTGCTTGGCCGTCAGCCACTTGCCCACGATCCACTCGCGGCAGTGGGAAGCCTGCTTGCAGTCGGTGACTTGCACCAGCAGGTGCTGCTTGTCTGCTGGTGCCTCTGAGCGGATGGACTCAAACCGCTCCTTGGAGGTGGTAAGCATCTGTGGGAGGGGCGTGTGGGGTGGGGACGTGGGTTGGGGGGGAGGAGAGTGGAGGAATGGGGGACGATGAGGAAGCTTTCAGCACTTGCACAGGATTAACTCGCGGGAGTGCGCTGCCTGCTTGCAGTCTGGCACTTGAATCATTCCTTGGAGGTTAAGAGCATCTGTTGGGAGGCATTCCGGGGGGGATGGGGATTGTGGGGTGGGATGGGGAGTGTGGGGTGGGATGGGGAGTGTGGGGTGGGATGGGGAGTGTGGGGTGGGATGGGGAGTGTGGAGTGGGATGGGGAGTGTGGAGTGGGATGGGGAGTGTGGGATGGGATGGGGAGGTGGGGTGGGGAGTGTGGGGTGGGGTGGGGAGGTGGGATGGGGAGTGTGGGGTGGGGCGGGGAGGTGGGGTGGGGAGGTGGGGTGGGGAGTGTGGGGTGGGGTGGGTAGGAACACCTCCTGGGCGTCGGGGAAGATCTCCTGCAGGATGACGGTTGTTGTGAGCGAGTTGCAGATAAACCCCACGCACCCACCCATCCACTCACCAGCACTCTGGTGCCCTTGGAAGCCAAATATATAGCAATAGCTCGGCCCAGCTTCGAGGTAGCCCCAGCGAGGAACACCTCCTGGGCGTCAGGAGAGATCTCCTGCAGGATGACGGCTGCTGTGAGTGTGTTGCCGTGCACCAGCCGCAGCTTCAGGTTTGGGTGGCTCTTGAGGAAGGCTGTCCCACCCCCGTTCAGTGCCTCGTTCTGTGATGGGTGGGTGTGGCGTGGCGTGGAGAGGTGGGGAGAAAGGGAGGGAGACGCGGGAGAGGGAGGGATGGATGACGCGTTGCTGTGAGTCAGCCACAGCAACCTCAAGTTCAGGTGGCGTTTCATAAATGCTGTTGTCCCTCCGCTATTCAGTGCTTTGCTCGGCGGTGAGTTCTGTGAATTTAGTGAGGAGGCAGCAAGAATGGAGAGTGTGGCGGGGTAGGGGAATGCATGCATGCATTCAGTGAGGCGCGTGCATTCATTTGGTGAGCGTGTTGGTGTGCATGCACAAGGCTCAGCTCAGGCCAAGACGGGTAAGGAACTCGTGTGAGTCTATATCAACAGGGGCACTGTGATAGGGGTTGATTGGAACAACGGAAGCCCTTGGGCCCTTTATGGGTTTGCTGCCTCACCTTGTTGAGGGCGCCGAGAGTGAACACCTGCACCCCCCGCTTGTCCGCCTTCAGGATGGCGCCTTCAATCAGCCTGTTGATCTGCTTCTGCTCGAACCACAGGAAGTACTACGCGGTGGCGGGAGGATGGGAGGGATGGGAGGGAGAAGGGGGAAAGGGAGGGAGGGAGCAGGCGGGGAAGAAGTAGGAAAAGAGACAATGGTGTTGATGCATGTCAACAACTGAGCCTGTAAGGTGGAAAAGGAAGACTTCCACTGCTCTGCACCACCACTCTGAATCTCGTCCCATTAGATTGAAACCCATCCTACCCCAGCCTACTCACGTGGAATCCGAGCATGGGGATGCCCCAGGATTCGAGCCTCTTTCTGCGGAGGTAGGTGTAGGAGCGGGGGAAGGCGGCAGCAAAGGCCCAGTAGAGCAGGCAGAGGGTGATGGAGATGGGGAGGAGGAGGATCACCAGGCAGCACGGAGGCTCACCAGGCAGCACCACTCTGCACCACACTGAACCCCATCCCATCCCATCACATCCCATCCCAGCCTACTCACGTGAAATCCGAGCCTGGGGATGCCCCAGGACTCTAGCCTTTTCCCCCGAAGGTACGTGTAGGAGCGGGGAAACGCGGCAGCAAAGGCCCAGTAGAGCAGGCAGAGGGTGATGGAGATGGGGAGGAGGAGGATCTGCTGCGCTGTGATGGCGAATGGCTTGGACGCGAAGTATGGCAGGAAGAATGGCATGTGCAGCACCGATGGGATGGTCATGCCGTGCGCCAGGAACACAAAGTCTGGCTGCTCCTTTCGTGCTGTGGTGGGCGAGGAGGGTGGCAGGGGGAGTGGGGCCGGAGGCAGAAAGGGACAGAGGAAGGGGATTATGGCAGGAAGAATGGCGTGTGCAGCACCGTTGGGATGGTCATGCCGTGCGCCAGGAACACAAAATCCGGCTGCTCCTTTCGTGCTGTGAGGGGGGAAAGAGGAGAGGGGTGGAGTGGGGGGGAACATGGGGGTGGGGCAGAGGGAGGGACCAGGGTACAAGGGGACAGGGACAGGGGGGGATGGGAGGACTGGTGTGGAGGAAGAATGGCATGTGGAGTACCAAGGGGATGGTCATGCCGTGGGCCAGGAACACGAAATCTAGCTGCTCCTTCCTTGCTGTGAGGGGTTGCGCGGGGAGCGGGGCCAGGGGCACAAAGGGACAGGAGAAGAGGATGATGGAAGGAAGAATGGCGTGTGGAGCACGGAGGGGATGGTCATGCCGTGAGGGGGGGAGCATGGGGTGGGAAGGGGTGGAAGGGGGAGGGCGCGGCAGAGCAGTGGGAGAATATGAGGTGGCAGATGGGTGGAGCAGAGCAGAGGGAGGGGCCGGGGGCGAAAAGGGACATGAGAAGGGAACGATGGGTGGACTGGGGGAGGGAGGCGGGGAACAGGGCGAGGGAACGGGGCAGTGGGACGTACATTGCCTGGAAGCTTCATGGAGGGCGTCGGAGTTGGGGTCCCAGGTGCCACCGAGGTAGTCGTAGATGGGCATGAAGAGCGAGAAGTTGGTGTGCACCTGCGTGTGGTGCAGTGAATGGAAGCTGTGGGAGGGGACGGGGAGTGGGGAGTGGGGGGTGGGGAGTGGGGAGTGGGGGGGTGGGGAGTGGGGGGTAAGGGGTGGGGAGAAGGGGGTAGGGAGTGGGGACAGAGGCATGGGAAGGGATGGATGGGCATGAAGAGCGAGAAGTTGGTGTGCACCTGCGTGTGGTGCAGTGAATGGAAGCTGGGGAGGGGAAGGGGAGTGGGGAGTGGGGAATGGAGGGTGGGGAGAGGAGAGGGGGGAGAGTGCATGGAGAGGGACAGATGGGCATAAGAGCGACAAGTTGGTTTGGAATTTTGTGTGGTGAAGTGAATGGAAGCTGGGGAAGGGGGGGGGGAGGGGGAGGGGAGGGTTTGGAAATGGTGAGGTGGGGGAAAGGGACATGAGTAGTGAGGCATGGGCATGAAGAGGGGGAAGTTGGCGTGGACCTGTGTGTGAGGTGCAGCGAGTGAAAGCTGACAGGGGCGAAGAAAGAAAGGAGGGGGTTCTGGGGAGAAGAACATGTGCGAGCTGGTGTGCACGTGCTGGCGTATGTGTTTTGGGTAAGGCAGGTTGTGGGACGGGGTGTATGGGGCGGTGGCTTACGATGGTGTGTAGATGAGGTATTTGAGGAAGGGCAGCGCGCGGAAGAGCGAGACGGGGAAGGGGAAGGGGGAAGGGGAAGAGGGGGGGGGGGAAGGGGAGGAGGGGGGGGGGGAAGGGGAGGAGAAGGGGGGGAAGGGGGAGGGGGGGGGGGGGAAAGGGGAGGAGGGGGGGAGAGGGGGTGGAGAGAGAGTGGGGGGGCAGGGAGTTGGCACTTACGATGGTGTGTAGATGAGGTATTTGAGGAAGGGCAGGGCGCGGAAGAGCGAGACGGGGAAGAACTCGAAGTTGCAGTGGCCCATGAAGTTGAGCGCGTCGAAGGCGAGCATGTACGCGTACACGCCCCCCACGGACGCGCACCCCAGCAGGCACGACGCGTAGAAGGGCACCACGAAGACTGCTGCGTACATGAGATGCTCCATGAATGGGTGTACGGTTGCTGCAGTGGTGAATGCAGGGGTGTGATTGTCACGAGGATAGGACAAGGGAGGGGAGGGAGAGAGGGGGAAGGGGACGCAGGGTGGGATTGGTGTTGTTGTTATAATTCTATTAGAAACACTGGAGTTTACTTGTATCGGCACTCCTAACACACCCGTTTTGAACTCATTCTCCTTCTCATAATTACCCTCATTGCGAGCCACACACCTATAGCAAAAATCGTACCCCTAAAGGGTTCAGCCAGAAACGAGGCGTGGTAGTGGCTGTGGTACCTGGAGTAAACCGCGTGGTGGTGCAGCGCGCAGCCAGTAGTAGAGGAAATCTACTGCGTAGGAGCGAGTATTATACCCATAACGGATTACACTCTTGTAACGAATCTTGTACCTGTAACGGGCTCCGTGAGGAAGGACGCGTGGTGGTGGCTGTGGTACTTGCTGTAGAGCGCGTGGTGGTGCAGCGCGCGGTGCAGCCAGTAGTAGAGGAACCCGCAGTGCCTGTAACGAGCTTCTGTACGCACACACCTACAACGAATGTCGTACCTGTAACGGGCTCCGTGAGAAACGAGGCATGGTGGTGGCTGTGGTACTTGCTGTAAAGCGAGTGGTGGTGCAGCGCGCGGTGCAGCCAGTAGTAGAGGAACTCGGCGGGCCCCACGTGCATGAGCAGCGTGATGAGCAGTCCCGACGCCGTGCACGGCGCGAAGTTCTGGAAGAGCGGCACCCACTCGTGGAACACGAAGCCGAGCAGCGCGTTGAGGATGATGTAGTCGTCCCTGTGGGAGGGAGGGGCGGAGAGGTGAGTGGAGAGAAGAGCAGGTGGGAAGGAGTGGAGAGAAGAGCAGGTGGGAAGGAGTGGAGAGAAGAGCAGGTGGGAAGGAGTGGAGAGAAGAGCAGGTGGGAAGGAGTGGAGAGAAGAGCAGGTGGGAAGGAGTGGAGAGAAGAGCAGGTGGGAAGGAGTGGAGAGAAGAGCAGGTGGGAAGGAGTGGAGAGAAGAGCAGGTGGGAAGGAGTGGAGAGAAGAGCAGGTGGGAAGGAGTGGAGAGAAGAGCAGGTGGGAAGGAGTGGAGAGAAGAGCAGGTGGGAAGGAGTGGAGAGAAGAGCAGGTGGGAAGGAGTGGAGAGAAGAGCAGGTGGGAAGGAGTGGAGAGAAGAGCAGGTGGGAAGGAGTGGAGAGAAGAGCAGGTGGGAAGGAGTGGAGAGAAGAGCAGGTGGGAAGGAGTGGAGAGAAGAGCAGGTGGGAAGGAGTGGAGAGAAGAGCAGGTGGGAAGGAGTGGAGAGAAGAGCAGGTGGGAAGGAGTGGAGAGAAGAGCAGGTGGGAAGGAGTGGAGAGAAGAGCAGGTGGGAAGGAGTGGAGAGAAGAGCAGGTGGGAAGGAGTGGAGAGAAGAGCAGGTGGGAAGGAGTGGAGAGAAGAGCAGGTGGGAAGGAGTGGAGAGAAGAGCAGGTGGGAAGGAGTGGAGAGAAGAGCAGGTGGGAAGGAGGGAGGAGACAGACGGGGTGAAGTTCTGGAAGAGCGGCACCCACTCGTGGAACACGAAGCCGAGGAGTGCGTTCAGAATGATGTAGTCGTCCCTGGGGGAGGGAGGGGCGGAGAGGTGAGGGAGGGGGGGGGTGGAGAGTGTTGGGGGGTCTGGGGGATTAAGGAATTGGTTTTCTGTGGAAGGAGCAGGAGAGGGAGGGGATCGTAGTACGGGTCGGGGAGGGGGCGGGGATAGGGGTTAAGGGCAGGGGAAGGAAAGGGGAGCAGAGAGAAAAGGTGAGGTGTGACGCGAGAGCAGGTTGGTCTGTCGCCAAAGACGAGGACCTCTTCGTTCTGCACTCCCCGACCGCTCCCAGAAACCACTTGATGACTTAGGGTCGATCGCTTCGCCTCGCCTCTAGCTTTTGGTTTTCATTTCCAGTTCGTACCACGTCGAGGCCTCAACGCCCTTCGACGAGGCTTCAAGATGCCACTTTGATTTGGCGCCTGCTTTCCGGTCGATGCGGCGCCTAAATAACGTTTTGATTAGACGCTAGACTTCCCCTAAATGGGGGCGACTACGTGCTCCTATGCGAGTCACCTGAATGCCCCTTTCATGAATCGCCTTATGCTCTGATATGGCGGCACGAATGCCCTTCTACGAGGCGCTTGAATGCTGTTTCATGAGGCGCGCGCGACCTGGTGCTAATTAATGAGGCGCCCGACCGATGCCGTTTGCTGAGGCGCCTAAGTGTTCTTGCGCAGTGGCGCACGATGCGATGCACCAAATGCAAGTTCGCCGCCTGAAACAAATTCTGATGAACTTTGCAACGCGCCCTTAAATCATACTCACACAGCCCCCGGTTGTTCCGCTTGGTGAATACCGGATCCAGGAAAGAAGCGGCAAACCACAACGACGTTCCACCAGTTTTTTTGTCCCATTGCATCTGCTTCAAAGTGACTTCTTTCTGCTGCATATTTTTAATGAACCAAAAACGACCATTAAAAGAAAAAACCAGGGCAGCAAGGCTCACCAGTTTTCTTCCCGGTCCATTTGCTTGAAATTCACTCCCTTCCGTTGGATCCTGTATCGGGGAACGAGGTGCGGCCAGCGCGATATAGTCATCCACGCCATGCCCACCAGCAGCCGCAGCGCCGATGCGATCAGCAGGTGCAGGCTAAAGTTGTCTGGGTCCTTCCCGCCGTGGAAATTAGCGTCGATAGCTCGAGCTACCAACGGAGCAAGCACCAGGTACTGCGTGGAGGCGGTTTGCGGGAAGGAAAAAATGAGGGTATTGTGGGTGGTTACTGAGGGTTCCACGTGAACTTGGTACGCGAATCGGGATTAAAGAAGAGCGTCATCACCTCGTTGCAAACGCATGCGGTTGCAGTCTAATTGCGTGAAATCTAGCCACAAGATTTCACGACGGTTGAAGATTAGAGTGGAGTTGAGAACGCACCTTGTATCCGCCGAGTGAGTGCCACGGGAACTCGTAGAGCGGTCCAGGCTGAGTCGCCATTGCGACGACTTTTTGAAGACTGTCGCACACGAAAGCAGAGGTTTTGCCCGCAGCGGATCTACGACGATCGCCGCGAGGCAGGCGCTGATCGAGAGTCGAGAGACGTCTCAAATCAACGACGCAGGTCCGTCCTTGTGCAAGGGGCGAATGTTCCAACAGGCTCCTAATCCTCCGTTTCTCAATTTCCCGCTTCTCTGCTCCAGATAACGGGAAATTGAGAAAGGAAGCGTGAGACGGAGCCAAGTTGGAACAATGCGAAGGCTTGAGAGTATGGCGGAGCTTACTCCAAGGCTTTCTGTCCTTCCACAGCGACGGTAATAATCTCAGCTCAGAACTACCGATCAGGCTTATCCCCAGTCAGGGGTGTGCGAATCCAAAATGTGTTATGAGGAGGCCTGTGGCAGCTGGATGGTGGAGGGAGAGGAAGGACGCCAAAAATGTGGATGGGGTGGATGAGTGCATGTGGACGAGAAGGGGCGGAATGGGCATGGGGTGGTGGGATGCAAGAACTGTAGAATTTGCGCCTGCAAACGAAATGGCGATGGGGGGCAAATTGCAATGCACTGGCGACGAGAGGAAACCAGCTGTCGCACGCGTTCAAACGAGGGGAAATTTTGAGGCAGGCGAGGGGAAATTTTGAGGCAGGCGAGGGGCTCCGAGCATGCGACGCAGGGAGTTCCACATATGCGTGAGAGATCTCCTCCAGGCGAACGGGAAGGTTGGCTCATGACGCTCGGCGACGCGATGTTGGCGACGTTTGCGAAAGCAAATGCGATTCTTTACAACCAACAAGCAGGGCCCTGCGCCTCGTTGGAATTTCAAGCGTGCCTTGTGCGGTGCGGACCGAGGCGCACAACTGACCAGTCCCAAGAAACCTGAGTGGGCAGAAAGGCAAGCAATTGATTGCCCACAAATACGGGCAGGTAAAATCCTTACAGGAACTTTGGTTCAATGATTCATCCACAGTTGTGGAGGAGCATTCTGAATCTGACCCACATAATCCACGTCGCTCACCCCTTCCCACAACTCGCCACGTCGAAGTCGACACGCGTTGCTGTCATGTCATCCACTTTACCACGCTCCGTTTAAATACGCTCCGATTTTATACACATATTCCCCTGATTCACGAAAAAGGAAATAATATTATATTGAGGTGTCTTACGTTGCGGACGGAGCCAGGAAAGCAGTCCCGCTTGAATTTTGCGCCTGTCATCTCGAATTTGCCACAAAATTCAGGGCTTTTTTTACTTGGTCCTTCAAGAACGTCAGTCAGCAAAACTGCACGATACGGGATCCGAGGGGAAAGGATCGCCAAAAAAACGCTAGGCCGAACTCGAAATTTTTTAAAGTTTAGTCCCGAAAATTATGGCAGCAGGGCAAAACGATAGCTGTAGTGGCGGGGAACCAACCTGCTCTCACGCGGAGACTGGCGAAGGCGCAGGTCGACAGGCGGAAGGCGTTCCGCCGCCGCCTCTCGCTCCCCATGCGGCAACCACGGCGCCAGCCACGACAGCAGCTCCAACGGCCACGTCAGTAGCAGTAACAGCGGTGGCACCAGCAGCGACATCGGCAGCAGGGGGAGCGTTAGAGCCGCGTTCGTCGTCTTCACTAGCATTAGAGGGTAACGAGATGAGCCTCTCGTTTGAATCACGCGTGCTGGACGCCAGCGGGGTGTCTGGGCGGCATCAGGTGTCGTGTACGCTCGTGACTGGCTTCCTGGGATGCGGCAAGACCACTCTGCTGCAGGTGAGGGAGGGTATACCGCACGACTGTACAGGATGTGCACTTGTATATGGCTTTTTACGGTATGTGCATTATTGGGTGTGAACATGCAGCATGCGTAGGTGCGAGTGCTGGTTCACGCCTCTTCAACTGTGCAAAGCAGGAAAACCTGCGGGTGGTAATTAAAGACGTTAGTCATCTAGCCCTCAACACCAACCCCCCCTTACCACCCTCAACACCAACCCCCCCCTACCACCCTCAACACCAACCCCCCCCTACCACCCTCAACACCAACCCCCCCTTACCACCCTCAACACCAACCCCCATAAATGTGTGGCTAGCTGACCATCTACTTCCCTCCCCCTTACCGCCCCCTTTTTCCCCCCTACCAGCACGTGCTGAGGGAGAAGGGCGATCTGCGAGTGGCCGTGCTGGTGAACGAATTCAGCCCTGTTGACGTGGACTCCCTGCTGCTCCAATCACAGCGCGCCAACGTGGCAGTTGGGGCGCCCCCTGGTCATGGGGATCTGGCAGGGGGTGAGTGCGTGAAAGAGAAAGTGTGGGCAAGGGGAGGGAGAAAGGAATGGGTGGGTGAGTCATGAAGGAGTGAGGGAGGCAGGTGGCTGGAAATGAGTGTGGGTGAGGGGAGGGAGAAAGGAATGGGTGGATGAGTCATGAGGGAGTGAGGTCGGATGGGTGGTTGGATATGATTGTGGGCAAGGGGAGGAAAAAATGGAGATAGCAAGTCAATGAGAGCAAGTCAATGAGAGCAAGTCAATGAGAGCAAGTCAATGAGAGCAAGTCAATGAGAGCAAGTCAATGAGAGCAAGTAGGAGCGGACTAGATTAAGCCACACATGCTCCTTTTCATGCAATCACATGTCCACGCACTCACGTCCCCATCCCACACATCCCCATGCACGCACACAACCTGCACTCACATCCCCATGCAGTTACATTGCCATACGCTATTATGGTCATGCACTCACATGCCCACCCTCACATCCTCACATGCCCACCCTCACATCCTCACATGCCTACCCTCACATCCTCACATGCCTACCCTCACATCCTCACATGCCCACCCTCACATCCTCACATGCCTACCCTCACATCCTCACATGCCCACCCTCACATCCTCACATGCCCACCCTCACATCCTCACATGCCCACCCTCACATCCTCACATGCCCACCCTCACATCCTCACATGCCCACCCTCACATCCTCACATGCCCACCCTCACATCCTCACATGCCCACCCTCACATCCTCACATGCCCACCCTCACATCCTCACATGCCCACCCTCACATCCTCACATGCCCACCCTCACATCCTCACATGCCCACCCTCACATCCTCACATGCCCACCCTCACATCCTCACATGCCCACCCTCACATCCTCACATGCCCACCCTCACATCCTCACATGCCCACCCTCACATCCTCACATGCCCACCCTCACATCCTCACATGCCCACCCTCACATCCTCACATGCCCACCCTCACATCCTCACATGCCCACCCTCACATCCTCACATGCCCACCCTCACATCCTCACATGCCCACCCTCACATCCTCACATGCCCACCCTCACATCCTCACATGCCCACCCTCACATCCTCACATGCCCACCCTCACATCCTCACATGCCCACCCTCACATCCTCACATGCCCACCCTCACATCCTCACATGCCTATGTTCCTCAATATGCAGGCTGTGCATGTTGCCACGTCAGTGACGGGCTCAAGAAGGCTGTGCGAGCAGCGGTTGGTGGCGCCATGTCAGCATGCGACTACCTCATCTTGGAGGTGAGCGCTCGGTCGTTGCCACGTTAGCATGGTCGCCCGTCTACATCTGATCCACGTGCTTCCTTCATCGTCGAATCTGCCCTGAGTGGTGGCAGTGGTGGCAGGTAGGCAAGGGAGCCACGGGAGGCATGGGAAGAAAGGGAGGCTGGGAAAGGCACGGGAGGCTGGGAAAGGCACGGGAGGCTGGGAAAGGCAGAGGTGGCCTTGGATGGTGGCGATTGTGTCATTTGAAACGCTTTTTTCTCTACCTTGTTTCCTACCCACTTCCGCGTATTTATCCCTCCAGACCTCGGGCCTAGCGGACCCTCAACCACTGGCCGCCCAGCTGATGGAAGCCGGGTGAGGCTCGATAGAGTGGTGACTGTGGTGGTGTGGTGGTGGTGGTGCAACCTGAAACTCTTTTCTTTCACCTCATTGTATGCCCAGTTCCGCCCTTTTGTTCCTCCAGACCTCAGGCCTAGCGGACCCTCAACCAATCGCCGCCCAGCTGATGGAAGCAGGGGTGAGGCTCGATAGAGTGGTGGCTGTGGTGGAGGCTGAGACGCTGCCGACCCTCCTCGAACAGCAGCCAATAGCGCGGCGACAGCTGGCAGCGGCCGACCTGGTGTTGCTGAATAAGTGAGCTGATGTGGCAGTAAGCAAGGAAGGGAGAGAAGGGTGAGGAGAAGGGGGCGGTTGAGGGGGGAAGAGAGGGGAAGGGTGTTAGGGTAGAAATCCATTATGAGAGGATGACAGTGAGAGAATTAGAGTGGGAGGATGACAGTGAGAGAATTAGAGTGGGAGGATGACAGTGAGAGAATGAGAGTGGGAGGATGACAGTGAGAGAATTAGAGTGGGAGGATGACAGTGAGAGAATGAGAGTGGGAGGATGACAGTGAGAGAATGAGAGTGGGAGGATGACAGTGAGAGAATGAGAGTGGGAGGATGACAGTGAGAGAATGAGAGTGGGAGGATGAGCGTGACATGACTGTGATGATGGGATCGAAGGCTGTGCTGTTCTCTGCGATGTTTTTGCATTGCTGAGCTTATTCCATGTGACTGCCCCATGCCCGTCTGCACAAATCCCTTCCTGCCATGCCATGCACCGCTGTTTCATGCGCCTCTATCCCTTGCCCCTCTGTCCCAAACCCCTGTGTCCCATACCCCTCTGTCCCATACCCCTCTGTCCCATACCCCTCTGTCCCATACCCCTCTGTCTCATGCCCCTCTGTCCCATACCCCTCCGCACGGTCGCACCATACCCCTGTGGGCCATGTGCAGGTGTGACCTGGTGTCCCTGGGTGCACTATCAGATGCAGAAGACATGCTCCTTAAATTTCTCACCACAGGAGACGCGTCTGCCCACCCACATACCAACGACGCATACGGCACCAGTCATAGATGCACCTCCTCCTCTCACACACGCTCCCATCCTCCCACCCCCACCTCTATACAACCATCCAGCTTGCCTCTTCCCCCTGTAGTCCGCACCCGTTACTGTCACGTCCCCTTGGATCTGATCCTAGATACCGTTCCTGTATCGCAGCCTGCTCCTCCTCTCACCTCAGCATCCGCTCATCTCTCCGCTGGCTTCCTCTCTCACGAAGCCACTGCTGCCCCCTCCTTTCGCACTCCCGGTGCTTCAACTCCCTCAGCCCTCACTCCCTCCTTGCACAAGGAAGGGAAAGAGCCGGATGCAAGGCATGGAGCGAGGAGGTATCAACTAGGTGCACCTGCACCAGGTCATGCCTCCACCCCGTTTACATCACTCCTCTTTGAGTCACAGCAGCCTCTTCCGCTAGCTGCATTCCAGCACATCGTGGCCACCAGACTGCGAGGAAGAGCCGCCAGCAGCAACAAGAGTGGCAGTGGCACTGCTGCCAGCAGCACCACCAGCGGGTGTGCTCCAGTGAAGGGTCTGCTTCGAGCCAAGGGCTTCTTGTTCTTCAAGGAAATGCGGTAAGGAGCCATGGCAGGTGTGGCGGGTAAAGCTTTTGTGCCTGTAGTGTGGTGGATGCAGGTTCTGGAATGCTAGCCTTAGGCTTCTCTCAACCTTGTTTTGGACCTCTGCTCCTCACCCATCTCATGTTTTTTTTTCTTCTTCTTCTTCCTCTTCCTCTTCCTCTTCCTCTTCCTCTTCCTCTTCCTCTTCCTCTTCTTCCTCCTCTTCCTCCTCTTCCTCCTCTTCCTCCTCTTCCTCCTCTTCCTCCTCTTCCTCCTCTTCCTCCTCTTCCTCCTCTTCCTCTTCCTCTTCCTCTTCCTCTTCCTCTTCCTCTCCTCTTCCTCTTCCTCTTCTTCCTCTTCCTCTTCTTCCTCTTCCTCTTCCTCCTCCTCCTCCTCCTCCTCCTCCTCCTCCTCCTCCTCCTCCTCCTCCTCCTCCTCCTCCTCCTCCTCCTCCTCCTCCTCCTCCTCCTCCTCCTCCTCCTCCTCCTCCTCCTCCTCCTCCTCCTCCTCCTCCTCCTCCTCCTCCTCCTCCTCCTCCTCCTCCTCCTCCTCCTCCTCCTCCTCCTCCTCCTCCTCCTCCTCCTCCTCCTCTCTTCTTCTTCTTCTTCTTCTTCTTCTTCTTCTTCTTCTTCTTCTTCTTCTTCTTCTTCTTCTTCTTCTTCTTCTTCTTCTTCTTCTTCTTCTTCTTCTTCTTCTTCTTCTTCTTCTTCTTCTTCTTCTTCTTCTTCTTCTTCTTCTTCTTCTTCTTCTTCTTCTTCTTCTTCTTCTTCTTCTTCTTCTTCTTCTTCTTCTTCTTCTTCTTCTTCTTCTTCTTCTTCTTCTTCTTCTTCTTCTTCTTCTTTCTTCTTCTTCTTCTTCTTCGTCTTCTTCTTCTTTCTTTTTCCGGTTTTTTTAAACCCTTCTTATTACTCTTACATCGGCTTCCCTCTTCCCTCCTCGTTTCCCCTCCTCCTGCCTCCAAGGCATCTGCGGTTTGTGTTTCAACTGAGTGGCAGCAGCCGTTGCTCCTGCACTGCCATCGACACCTGGGACTGCCCACCCTCCTGTCGCCTCGTGCTCATTGGCCAGGACGCCGCTGAGCTGGCAGGCCTGGTGTCAGAGCTGGAATCACTCGCAGAGGATCAGAAGACGGATGGTGGAGGAGAGGTTTCAGGGGATGGGGTTTCAGAGGTGGCTTGTGAAACAGGCTCGAGGAATGTGGCTGGGGAGGCGATATGTGGGGAAGGCACAGCTGCTGCTGAGGCAACAAGGCTTGTGAAGATGCTGACAGCAGATGAGAGATTTGAGGTGAGATGGTGGTGTCTGATGAGTGGTGAATGGTTGTTGGTGAAAGATGGGTGGTGAACGATGCTGAAGATGAAAAGGCATGACCAGCTGGTGGGGTAGTGCGACTGTGTTTGAAAACAGTCTGAGGGCGTATCCAGGTTCGGGTCATGGGCACTGTTCCGGGCATCCGCAATTTGCGGATGACCCAAACAACATAAAACGCCACTTTGGGTCCTCCGAACTCATGCGACTCCCAAAGAGCCGCGAAGGTTTTAGCGCCAAAATCAGGCTCCCCACAACAGTCGCATCCAATGGAGGGATGCCAGAACAGTTCGAAACATCCTTAGCAAGACCCACGCGAAACCCACCGAAAAAACACAATCGTCAAAATTCCCAGCGTGAATCCCCAAATGCTGGAAGGGCGACGCGGGAAATTTTTTACCCACTAATGGTCACTGGGGTCAATTTGCCGAGTGGTTGGGTGCAGAGGGGTAAGACGTGGGACATTGCCCACGTGTGACACTCGACTGACGACCGCCAAAAAATGGCAGTAAATCCAGAATCGTGCAACCAGGTGATTGGTTGGGGGTGGGTCGTGCACGTCAGTCGCCCAACACCTGCACATTGACCCAAAGCTGGGGCCGCGCGCGGCTCGGCAGCCCACTTCGGGTCATGCGCAAATTCCGCATGACCCAAACAGTAGAATGAACAGTGCTCATGACCGGAGCCAAAGATACGCCCTGAACTTCACATGAAAGAATGGGAGGGGATGATTGGTGCGGCTCATGTAAGTGACCTTTCACAGCGGGCTATCTGATGCCTTCATTTTCAAGTACCCAATCCTGAAGTTGGTCGCTGGTGTGGCATTAAAGTGGAAGTTTCAAGATGTTGTGGAGTCTGTTCATTGTGATGAATGCAGGTCCGCACATCCAAGGCAGCATCTGACAACAGAGTGGGGAAGTTAGTGACAGAGCGACGGGGAAAAACGTTTGAGGCTTCAGTTGTGGAGTTTGGGATGAAAGGAATTCCACTCAAAGGCATCCATCAGGTACGGCGACCCTAAACCTTAAACCCCGGCCAGAATACCTTTTACAGCACACATAATTTGCTGTGTGATGAAAGTAGGGATTTCTCAGGTATGGAGAAGGCAGGCGTCCATCAGGTAAAGCTACCCACTTGTTAGGTGCGGGGTTGGGGGGCTTTCTAGTGCAGTAAGCATCCATCAGGTATGTTAAAGATGAGCTTCTTTTTATTATGGTGCAGTAAGCATCCGTCAGGTATATCGAGGATGAGCTTCCATTGATTATGGTGCAGTAGGCATCCATCAGGTATGCTGAAGATGAGCTTCCATCAGCTTTGGAGTTTTTTTTTTAGAATACTTCTGCAGCATGAGTCGTAACTACACATCCACTGAGGGCATTTTGTCATCTCTTGCAAGCATAGTCGGAATGATGCACAATACCTGTGAATCCGCACAGCTGGAGGCGACGCTCCTCTTTCCTGCATCATCCTCCGCATTACCTGCATGACAGAATACTCTCAATGCCTCGTTGCTGGCGTACATGAACAACCAAGCTACACATCTCGTATGCGCCTGCTCGACTCTCCCAACTCTCAACGGTAAGTATACCCTACTTACAGCAGCCGTCTTGATGTTTCTTCGCCATTTCTAGCCATTGACATTCTGGTTAAGGAGTTAGAACAACTAAGTCAGCTACCTACCCGACTGACGCTTCAAACATCAGCTGGGCCGTTGGTCCTGGGAATGCGAGCGTCGTCCAAGGCAGAAGTGGTCTTCGACCTGCTCACGATCGCAGCCAGGCGGAGCTTGTCTCAGGCCCTCAAGGATGTTCCCTTATGCAGGTACCGTTTCGTTTCCAGTATTCTCTTAGATCTACTGGAAGTAATATTGTAACAAGTCAATGTACGCCGTCTTATATGTTTCTTTTTTTTTTTTTCAGGTGCGATGTGGTGCATGAGATGGTGAACACGAAATGACGGCGTCAACACTAGGACGGGAACTGGAGATGACATGACCAACGACGACCACATTCCTTCCCGTAGAACCGCTCGTGACAGGTGTCGTGTGACTGACTGACATGATTACTAGAATAGAATAAGTATAGGGGTTGGTCTGGCGTAATCTATGAGCTTCGCGTAGCAGCGTCCAACTGCCTGATCATAACAAATAGAATGACGGATTCTGCACACACCAGAAATCGAACTGACTGACAAATGTAGATGCATTACATCACTATGACAGTGGCAGAAAAGTCTTGCTGGGAGCTGCTGCATCATCTGAGCCTAGATGAGGCAGCATCAAGCAGGAGTTATGTTCTTCGGCCCATACGACCTGAAAGTTCCAGAAGCACGAGGCTCAGCTGTCAAACACGGTTTTCTTGGGAATGCAATTCCTGTACTTCGGTGGAGGGTTTGTTGCTGGTTGGCTACCTTGCCACAACGCGGAAACGAAAAGATTTGTTGTCACAGCATTGTCAGTTACCAGCAGCCCAGGACCGAAAGTCTCCTGTGCACGAAGGATTTCGCCCAGTGCCGACATCTGTTTCTGTTGGCGATCAGTTGGCTTGCCGATGGCTGGCTCCTTGGAGATTGACATCTCTAGTTTCGTAACAACGCGGAATGAACGGAGTTGAAGTCGTAACCAGCTGCAAGTCTAGGACGATAACTCCCCCGTGCACGAATGCGACAAGGTCAGGGATACGGAACGGGAAGAAAAACACGGGTTCGACTTCCCCCTCTGGCCAATCGGAGTATAGCTGGAAACGAGTTTTGTTGGGTCGTGGTTGGGGCAATGCAATGTAACCGTTCGCAGGTCCAGCGATTCGCGAACCGTTCGCCACCGCATGCTATTCAGGAGCCACCTGCTCCCGTGTCGCGTCAGCGTCAGGAGAGTCTTGCATCTGAAATCAAGCCTCGTCAACGACAACCTCGACATTTCGCTGCACAAGCAGCCACTTACGCAAATCCTCAATGGCTTTTGCCTGGACCGCAGCGTTACCGATCGGGCCACCAGCAAGTAACGAGGATTGTCGCACAACAATCTTCGCCAGATTTGGGCACAGCAACGAAACCTTGGCGATCTCCTCCAGCCCACAGACCATCTTCGTCAGCACCAGGATCTCAAGGTCTCGATGCATGACGGCTTCGTTGGTGCTGCTGATGAGATTCCCAAGGTTACCACCAACCAACTCCAGCACTCGCAGAGAGTAGCATTTTCGCAGAGCCATGAGGTCATCCGTTCCGAGAGCTCCACAGTGGATGCGAAGGCACGTCAATTCCCGCCATGCAATGACCATGAGGTAAATGGCTTGCTTCGACAGGCTGTTCTGGCACAAGCAGGCGAAGCTGCGGATGTGGCGGAAGCCGGAAGTGAGGTACCACATGGCCTTGTTCTCCAAGTACGTGAAGTTTCCTTGCTTTCCGTCTGAAATGAGCTCCACGCTTTCGACATTGTTACAGTACAAGCTGCAAACGGAAACAGAACAAAGACTGTGAGGTTCTGAACGGAAGAAAAGGGTAGAGGCATAAGCCAAGCATGGAAAAAGGGCGCGAGAGACCGAATTATATTGTAACTACATACTTTACGGCTGAACTCAACGCACCTTACGATCCAAAGGACGCTGCATATTGACGCCTCGTTGCGACTCGTGTTGTCCCGGTCACAGTCGATAACGATTCGACGAAGGGAGCTTCCGCAAGCCATGATGATCGGATGAAGCACATGCAGCTCGCAGCGAGGATCGTCAATATGCAGTTCCACCAGGTTCGTGCACCGTGCTGCGAGTTGTTCCACTCCTGGACGCATACTCCCAGGACCAATCCGAAGCTTGGTCCAGAAAATCTGGTTGTAAGAGAGCTCTCGCCACGTCTTATTCACGCAAGCCATGCGGCAGAGGTCCCAGGCGGTGGGCTGAGCGAGCTGGAAAATGTGAAGGAGCAAGTCGTCGCCTAAGTCGGAAAGCGACGGCTTTTCTGCAGCTACTACCGGAGGTTTCGGAAGAGCTAGCGTCAACTCCGTCAAGCAGTCAGATACGGCGTCGTTGTCGCTGAAGAACTTGTCGGTCGAAGCGTCGGAACGGCGCGACCTTTTTGCGGCTTTCGGAGAGTGGAAATCGAGGTTAAAATTTGTGCTCCAAGGATCTACTTCACGCTTGGGAACACCCATGCCCGAGGAAATGGTGGTCGACATCGCTGAAGCTATCGCTGGTCGACTCTGCGGCTATGCTAGGCTATGTGTACGAAGGGGGGGAGCTGTTGAAGTGAAGAAACGTAGCGCGACGATGACGAGTGCTAGAATGGTATTGCTTTGGATTGGAATGTTCAGCCGCAGCTTGCTCCTTTTGTACTGCGCCGAGTTCCACCGCTCACCGACTGGGGGACTCACTGAGGGAACCTGACTTGCAGAACCGGAGCGGCTTGTGGGAGAATTTGGGGCACTGCGGAACGAAAGACCCAGAACGCAACCACTGTGCTGTACCCAGTTGGTGTTGATACGATGAGCTGGGAGGTAGATCGTACAGCGGCATGACAGTTGACACGCTCGGGTGTCACAACCCTAAAAAGTAGGACCATTGAGGCTGATGCTGCGAAACAGTTGGAAAGTGCAGTGGAACGATCCGCCTTTGGATCACGGGCTGTTGGAAAAGGCTTCGAGAATATGGTGGCCTGCCCAACAACTTGCCGTTCCACCCACCCTACCACGCGGTGAATCTGCATCAAAACTCTTCCTGCTGGAATCAGCGTGGCACACGACGTCAGGGTGAGATGCAGAATCGGATGAGCAAAAAAATCTACGGGTTCCAGTTAAACGTCGTATGGAGCCGTTACGCGCTGCTGCGGGATTGGCCGGGAAAGTCAGAATTCTCATTCTGTTTACCGAATCGACGTCCTTCCAGTTACAAGCCTCCAGTTGGCCTCCAGGCTGGATATCCGTAGGCCCAGCTTTTTGATATCAGAAAGGAACGGTTTCAATCAGCTGTGGCTTTTCCACTTCGAAATGTACATGTGGCAAAAAGCGTCAAACGAATGGATGTTTGCACTTCGACATTGACACGTGCCGTTTCGTGGAGGAGTTCCGGCACATGTATACCACGGTTCCCCAACGATCTCGCGTCACACAAATCACAGAGCCATTGCATGTATGCCAACATGGAGCAACACAGTCCACCAACAAAACATCCCCTTACGAGCTGCAACGATAGTCGGGGATTAAGAAAAGTGTTCTCTATTCCAGAGAGGAGATAGCAAATAAAGTCTTTACAGAATGCGGAGCCCACCCATCTATGTTTTCTCATATGGAATTAAGCATTGCTTGCAACCTAAATGATTACACTAATCCAAAAAACGCGCTAGATAGAGGCATCAGATGTGATATATATTATGATAGGACTGTGGGAGCTTGCGTTTCAACCAAAATACTTCGCACGGTTTCATCGACTAATCGTATCAATCGAACTTTATACACGTGGCTTTATGCATATAATGAGAATTTCACGTCCGATATCCATTTATACTGGCCAAGTATTGCTGTAAGTGGCTCCTAGGTTTGGCAGAATACAAGTATCAAAAAGTTGATTCACTATAATAAAAGCACACCTATAACAAGAAAACGAACGTTATCCTTCATGAATGCACACGTCGTTGCATTTCCACGTAATACCGAACCCGCCTTTGATGGCGCTTTTGGTGAGTTCGACGGGTCTACTGGATTAGTTTGTTATCCACAGTTATTGATGCTGATTCGTTGTTGAAACTGGTGGGGCACACGCAATCCGAGCCGCCCGTCCACGTTCAGCACGGCTGAACGCTGCTGACGGTGGGCTGATATCAGCAGCAAAGTCTAATTGGCTGGAGTTTTTAAGGTTCCAAAAGTATGTCCTAACCAAATCCAATCACTTGATCGGGAACGTCCATATTGCCACGCATCCTCATCGAAGGCTGTGAATTCTTCTCGCATCCATTTCAGGAAGCCTCCATCGCTCCCGTCGGAAGCGGTCTGCCCTTGAGATTGGGAGTTTCAAGCAGGCGACACGACTATTTCATCACTTGTGCCTGCCCGAATGGGAAGGGGAGAGAATGTATAATCCATTTTGCCTCTCTGCACATTATCATCCAGCCTTGACAAACTCGAAGCATGAATTGCGTACTCTACACTTTACCGCATCATACTTCGTTTTGGTCCTACACTCATCCAGCCAACGGTTCAAACTTCGTTTTGGTCCTCCACTCCCTTCCGTCCAAGCTGCCCTCCAGAAAATTTGTTGCCACGCTTTTCTCCCTGATTCTTCAACCTCACAAAGCTTGCATAGAAGCTCTCTCCTAGGGACGCAAATGTGATTATTGCGTCGCTTCTTTCCGCGTGTGATGACTGTTTCTGATGGGTGCTGACTCCTAGTGAACGTTTTCCATGGCTGTCTGTTGATCCGCTGACGGGGTTATTCGTGTGCGCTGCAAGGAAGTCCACTTCTTTTCATTTCCACCATTAGCCCAGCCAGCGTGACACGACACAGGAAGGGAATCGGCAGCACACGACACCACGCAAGCAGAAGGATTTTCTCTGTGTGCCTTGCTCTGACGGGACCACGTGCTTCTAGGTTGTTCGAGACTGGGGTTGGCAGGAGAATTGTCTTGATGCACGTATATCTTCGACCACGGATTACCAAAGACGTTCCTTTCTCTCGTTCTGAGACAACTGCTTGGCTGCTCGCCAAACCAACTCGTTTGCCAATTCGGCTACCGTTCAACCAACGACATCACAGGGAACTTAAATTAGGACTTTATCCTACTCGTTCTCCTCGTCGCGCATGGCCACTCCCGTGATTGGCAGCAGCAGCAGCAGTCGTCTCGTCCAGATCCTCACAAGCGGCGCGAGCCATACTAGCCTCTCCGAGCTCATGCTCGAGATCCTCTCCGTCGTCGCGCCGCTCTGGCTCGCCGTCGTAGTCGGCCTCATCCTCGGGTGGTCATGGCGGCCGCAGTGGGTCAACTCCCTCGCGTCCGACCCGCGTTCCTCCGCCTTCTGGTCACTCCTCACCGGCGGGCCGTTCAAGGAGGCGTGGTCTGCGGGGTGGTCATGGGGCCAGGCTGTACTGGACTCGTGCAGTCAAGCGCAGGTTTCGGGATTCTCGGCAGCGGGAGTCAAGGAGGGAGTTGAGGGGGCTAGGGAGTCTGGGTTTCAAGCGATAGGGGTGCTTTTTGGAAGAGATTGGAGCTCCCTGGGCGAGAAGGTGCTGCCTTGGCGGGCGGCTGAGAGGGTGGGTGGCTCTGGGAAATCGAAATTAGCTGCTCTGGGGAGCGATGGTGTTGAAGCTAGGAGGCCGGAAGATGCGGAGGAGGTTGGCGAACGTCGTAACGGTAACCGTGTAGTTCATTCCGCGAGCGGCGCTGCGGATGGCAGACGGGAGCGTCAAGTGAACGGCGAGGCTGTCAGCAAGGAAGCTGTGACTGACGAGTACGTTTTTTCCCCCGCTCAACTCGTTCACGTTTCCATCCTTTTGCCTCTCGCACGACTCGCTTTCGTTCTGTTACAATTTCGTCTGGTTCCATCCTCTCCTCGTCTTTCGCAATTCCGTCTGCCTTTGTTCCGACAAGTCCGTCCACCGACGTATCCTAACCTCTCTCTTTGCATCACCTTGTTTTTCCCTGACCTTCGCAGGCCGTCTGCGCAGTCGCGGAGCAAGGGCTCGCGCCCGCCATCGTTGCAAACAGGAAACCTTCAGCTGCTAGAGGTCGGCCGTAACGTGCATGGGCACGCCAACGGGCACGGCGCCGCGCATAGCGTGTCGGAAGAGGATATGGAGTTGGTTCTTACCGAGGATGACTTGGAGGAGTTTTGCGCCAAGGTGGAGGGGAAGGACGGCGGGCCGGAGTGGCAGCTGATGATGGAGAAGACCGCCAAGGGCATGCAGTACACGGGCTGGCGACGGGACCCCGAGGTCCGCTGCTTATAATTGTGTTGTAGTTTTGACGGAGATGTGATGTTGCGCCCTCGCGCCCCTTCCAAAGCTCAGCAGATTTATTCTCGGGGATCCGAAGAGCAAAGCTCAGCCGATTTATTCTTCGAAAGATCATGTCGCGCGGTCTTGTGCTCATCCGCACTCATGCGCGGATTTTTAACTCCCCCTCGCGACTTTCTTTTCCGCCTTCGGCCCCTGTCTGTCCCCCCAACAGCAAGGTCTCACGTTATGCTCCCCTCCCCATTTCTTTCGCCATCGTCCCCGTCCGTCTTCCCCCAACAGCAAGGGCCCACAGAGTACCGCAGTCGCACAGTCATGGAGCGGTGCTCGTCGGCGCTCATGCGCGACTTCTTTTGGGACGACGAGTTCCGCGCGGCGTGGGACGACATGCTCGTGCAGGCGCGCACCATCACCGCCTGCGAGCGCACCGGCTTCCAGATCGTCCACTGGGTCCGCAAGGTGAGTTGCTGTGTTGTCTTTGTATGAAGAAGGGTCTGGAGTGATGGGTGTGTTGAGAAAGGGTGAGGGAAGGTGATTTCTACTGACCCGCTTCGTTGCTGCCCAGGGCTTCCTCTCTTCCTTTCACTCGTTCCCACTCCCGTGCCGATCTCGTTGCACTTCATCCACTCCTGTCCCACCCCTGTCCCACCCCTGTCTCAAAACTGTCTCATTTCTGCCCCATACCTCCCGTATTGCAGTTTCCGTTTTTCTGCAAGGACCGGGAGTACGTGATAGCGCGGCGCATCTGGTCGCACGACGACACATTCTACTGCATCACCAAGGGCGTGCACCACCCCGAGGTCCCCAAGCGCGACAAACCCCGCCGCGTCGAAGTCTTCTATTCCAGCTGGCGCATCCGCCCCGTGATTGGCGCCGAGGGCAGCAATGCAGCGGAAGTCATGCTGTTTCACCACGAGGAGATGGGGCTGCAGAGGGATATAGCGAAGCTGGGCGTGCGGCAGGGCATGTGGAGCGCTGTGAGGAAAATGGAGCCGGCGATCAGGAAGTATGAGAAGCAGCGTGCAGAGGCGGCACGGCCGCTCAGCCGGTGTGTTTCGCTGGCGAATCTGCACACGCCGATTGTGCCGTCGCCTGGGAGTAGCCCGGATGGGGAGGAGGATGGGGATGGAGGTGCGGGGGAGGGGAGTAATGCGGTGAGGAGGAAGGGAGGTTTGAAGAAGGGTGGGATGGGGATGAGGAAATGGGTGAGCTTTTCGGATTTGGCGATGGCTGGGGAGGCGAGGAGGAGGGGAGGGGTGGAGGAGGATGAGAGGAAGGAGGAAGAGGAGGAGAGGGATAAGGGAAGGAGGGTTGTGGATGAAGCCGCAGAGGGGGAGGGACAAGGTAGTAGTGGCAGGGCAGGCAGCAGCCAAGTCGTAGTTGCAAGTGGTTCAGGCAATGTTGGTGCTCGGTCGCCAGGTCAGGGCTCAACTGTTGGATCTGGAGACTGCAGAGGAAGGCGACGGTCTGGATCGGCCCAGCAGGAAAGGAGCGATTCTTGTGATCGGGGGAGCGAGGTGACAGTGAGGAGTGGCCCGGTTATGGGGGGTGATGCTAGGGGAGAGGAGAGGAGAGGGAAGGCGGGAGCGGTGAGGGTGGGATGGGTGGTGGCGACAACTGCTTTGGCTTTCATCTGTGGAGTGGAGGCAGGGGTGCTGATGAAGCTGGTGGTTGCAGGGGCGGTGCAAAATGTGGCTTCCAGGCGTGCTGCTGCTGCAGCTAGAAAGGAGAGATTGCAGAATTAGGCTGGTGCATGTGGTATAAAGCTGATCATGGTGTAGTCAGCGCATCCTCCCAGTTGCCCAATTTTGGCTTCAGATTGGCGGGCAGTGCTTCTTGGTTTTATAAACTGTTGTTTTCCATATGAAGCATGTATGTCTTGGTACGGTAATAATTTCTCTTGTGGAACCTTAAAGCTCGCGGCCCAAATTGCGGGCCGCGCCGCTGGGCAACCTTAGTAAGGTTTATTGATAGTTGTTTTGCAGGTGCTGGTTTTGCGAATTGAGGTTACGGGTTGTACGAAGGAAGTTAATTGGCTGGTCAATTTGAAACACTGAGCTGATTGGCTAGCAAAATTGAAACAGTGTTTGCGGAGGGGGTTGGGTGGGAAACTGGCAAGGATAGTATTTGTGCAATATGGGACTCATGCAACCAAACGTGAAGTGGCCCCTGGGGTCTACTGAGTCAGCGAAATGTGTCTGAGATTGGCGAGAAGTTGGGCGAAACCAAAGCCCTCAACCCACCCAACACCTCGACTAGCCAACCCTGCTCCCTCACCTCCCAACATGCAACTTTAGTAAAGTTGTACAATTTGGGCCGCGAGCTTTAATCTACATTGTACAAAGAGATCAAGCTGACATGCCTGCCTGATTATCATAGCCTATGGCTACACTTTCATTTCTTCCCTTTTCCTGCCAGCTGTCGCACCCAACAAAGTGGCGGATCGCACAGAACTTCGCGCCAATTTCCGTCTGACTCCCCCTTGTGGTTCCCTTCGTTCCGCTCGTTCCCCCAGTTTGCTTTCGCACCCCGCCACAACTGCTGGTCGATGCTTTGTCAATCAATTTGCGAGGGGCGAAATCCCCCCTGCGAGTTCAACATAGATCTCTGATCAGTGCTAATTGAGCTAGCAAACGTTCTATAACGCAAAGGAACTTACGGAACCGTATTGTACCCGCGATTGTTCGTTTCCCCTCTTCCGCCCTTGTTAGTCAGCATTGGTCCGCGCTTGAGCGGGGTCAGGTTATCGTTCCCCACCACGTAAGCCGCCGCCGCGACTCTCGCTAGTGAAAGCGCAGCTGCAGAGCCCCATTGTGCGCCGTGGGCCACGCTGAACCACCCGAGGGTTTCATCCCGCGTCGCTGTACTTAACGACAATTTTCACCTTAGATCTCCAACTCCGCTTCCGCTCCCGAGTCCCGACAGCCCTAAACTGCACTGTGCTGTGCTCGCCTTTTATAACTCTATAATCTATACTTGCCACTGTGCTGCTTGTTACGTAGGACACTGTTTCTTCTCGTAGGAAGCCGCATTAGTGGGGGTTCGCCGCATTAGTAAGATTGGAGGCGGCGACCAAAAGTAGCATTATTTATTTAGCGACGTTATCCATGAGTCGGAAGAAAGCGTAGTTTCAAGTGACACGATTGTGACATACTGTAAGCTGCACCGTTTCGTCTTTGGACAAGTCGAGCCGCGAGCAGCTCGCGCGAACCCCAGTACGTTAAAATAGTAGCGACGTTCGGAACCGTTTGTTCTTAGGAGGACCAAAGCCTAACGCCCGATCGCAGAATACGTGCAAACAAGTCGACATAGAAGCCTAGTGACAAGCCTAATGAACGAGCCTACATGAAGGTTTAGTAAGAAACTAACAAGCCTATATGAAAGCCTAATGGCAAGCGTATCAAGGGTAGCAGGCTAAAAATAAGCGTACGTCAAGGGTCACGCGGATCATCGTGGCATCAGAGGCAGCACAAAGCGGCTCTGCCCGTTTGTTTCTGAGAATACTCAAAAAACACCCTGCAACGGGCATAACGCACATCATGGTGGCATCCGAGGCAGCACAAAGTGGCGCTGCCGGGTCGCCGTCTCGCGCCGCGATGCTCGCCGCAAGCAACGCTGGTGTCGGCTCGTCAGCGAGCAGCGCTTCGGGCGGCGGCTTGACTGCAGAGGAGGACGTTACTGTTCTCGAGGTACCGCAGCCACGTGGCGCTCTTCCAGTGGTTACACTTTCCGTTCCGCCATTTTTCCCCTCCAGGCCTTTGTTTCCTTTTGTTTTTTGCCCCTTCCTGGCTTGGTACTTGTCCCCTCCCCTTTTTCATGCAACCTCGTCCCTCCTCCATCCATCCTTCGGTTTCTGCGGAAACTGCTAAGTCGTATTTTTTCCCTGCTTCCCCCGCTTCGTTGCTCCCGTACCTCAGTCGCAGGCTCGGGCGTGGGTCGAGCGATGCTTGGGTCGGCAGCTTCCGGCGGACCGCTCTCTCCCCGATATCCTTGAGGACGGGCAGACGCTGTGAGTCCTGCTCCTATTCCGGTGCGCGTTCAGTTGACTCAGTGCGTTGCTGGGTATTCGTAGTGTGCAAGGCGACCGCGCTGTGAGGCTTGCTCACGTTCTTGAAGCTTACTTATATTGCGCAAGTCTCTCGGTAAAATCCCGAAGTTTTAGCATCAACCTCGCTGCTGCTTTCCGTACCGTCAGTATTTTCTCATGAGCTCTCCTTCCCCGTTCTCCGCCCACTAACCACTCCCCCTCCCAATCCCCTCTCCACCCGTCCCCGACGCCTCCTTTCCCGCCCCCTCACACTTCCATTCCGCCCGCTCACACTTCCATTCCGCCCGCTCACACTTTCATTCCGCCCGCTCACACGTTCATTCCGCCCGCTGCTATTTTGGCTCTCCTTTCTGAATCTCTCAACACGTCACCGCCTGCCCCTTCTGCCTTTCCCTTCAAACCACCAAATCCCACCCTTCTTTTGCTAAAACCTTCCCCTTTCCAACCCCCCCCCGTCTCTTCCCCCGCTCCCTCCTCCTTCCCCCACTCCTCACCGTCCCCGACTTGTCATTTCCCCATCCCCCTCACCACCCCCCGTTTCCCCAGTGTGGAGGTGGGGCGGGCGGCTCAGCGCGCAGCCAGGGGATGGCTGGTTATGGGGAAGGCAGGGGGAGGCGGAGAGGGGGGAGGGGCGCTTGGAGGGAAGGGGGCGGGCTCTTTTGCGCGATGGGGCGGGGGAAAGAGCGGAAGCAGGGCGGGGTCGAAGGAAGGGGAGGATTGGGAGGTGGGGGACGAGGGGGAAGGGGAGGCGGAGCAGGGGGAGGGGGAAGCGCCGTCCGCGGAAGTGGGGCGGAACATGGCGTTCTGGCGCGCGTGTGTGAAGGTGGAAATGTTCCTCAAGGTGATTATAACGGGGGGCGGGAGGGAGAGGGGGTGGTTTGGGTGGGGGGAGGAAAGGGGTGGGAGGGATGGGAAGACGGGGAAAGTTATGGGGGCAAGCGAGGGGAGAATGGGGGCGGGCGGGAGAGTGGGTTTGGTTTGAGAGAGTGGGGAATGCATTGAATGCTGAATGAGCGCTCTCAACTGTGGCAATGCAGATCGCACAAGGAAAGAGCGTTCTCTCTTTTCCCTCCCCCACCCTCCCCCATTCCTCCACAACCCTCCCCTCCCCCTCTCCCGCTTCCCCGCCCTCCCCGCACTTCTTCCCGTTCCCCACTCCCTGCGCAAATCTGTGCCATTGAGGTCAACCCTCCACTCCCTCCGCCCACTGCCTCACTTAATTCCTCCCCAAACCCCGCGACTTTTGAGTCGACTCAAAAGTCACCTCAACCCTCCACTCCCTCCGCCCACTGCCTCACTTAATTCCCCCCCAAACCCCGCCGCTCCCCCCTCTCTCCCACACCCCCCTTCCCCATCTCTCCCACACCCCACTCCTCCACCTTCCTCCCCCGTCCCCCCTGTGCGGGGCAGATCTGTCGCAGCATAGGACTGTATGACGTGAACGTCTTCACCCTTTCCCCGCTCTTCTCCCCTCTTGCCCTCCCACACCCCCTTTACTCTCTCACTTCCACCCCCCCGCCCCTCACCCCCTCTCCCCTTTGTGCGGGGCAGATCTGTCGCGGCATAGGGCTGTACGACGTGAAAGTATTTACCCCTCCTGATGTATCATCCCACTCCCTCACCCCCCTCACTCCCTCCCCCCCCATCTCCCCCTCCCCCCTTTTCCCCCTGTGCTATGCAGATCTGTCGCGGCATAGGGCTGTACGACGTTAATGTGTTTACCCCACCTGATCTGGTGGAGAGGCGGGATCTGAGGCGGGTGTATCTGTGCCTGCGCACACTCAGCAAGCGCACCATCGGAATCAAGGTGGGTCAGCCGAGTCAACGCGGGTCATATGCGTCACGAAGTTAAATGAGTCAAAACGGGTCAAATAATTGGAGACAGTGCAAGGTTAGGGAACCCAGCAAAGTAAGAGCAAAGCGGATGAGATATCCATTTGTTTTGTCTTTTTACCTCACCCCAATGTTACATGGCCCTCCTGCTCCTGTTCTTCCTGTTCTTTCTCCATTGCACACCCCCTGTATTGTCACACCCTATATTATTGCTCCCTTGGTTATCACACCTCTCCTCGCCTTTTGTTCTTCCCTTCTCTTGGGAACCCTATCAAGGGCTTTAAGAGCTGCATGGTCACTGTGTGACCTTTTGAGTCAACTCTCCACCTGCCCTTATCGGGGAGGGGAGCCAGTTAAGATTTCTCAAAATGTTTTCATCCTTCACCTTTCGGACCCTATCCAGGATTTTGAGGGCAGCATGGTGACTGCCACGTCAGCAACACGCCACCGGCTCATGTCGTCTGTATCCAAAACTATCCGACACACCACCACCGCCCTCTCCCCCTCTCCCTCCCTCTCCTCCTCCGCCTCTCACTCCAAGCCAGCCCCAGCTGCACCGCCCCCAGCTCTGCCCTCCCCTGCCGTACCGCCCCCCCCAGCTGCTCCTCCCCCTGATCTACCCGCCCCAGCTCTGCCCTCCCAAGCTGCCTTTGTTTCCCAATCTACTACCGTATCTGCTGCACCCCCTTCAGTTGTACCCTCCCCTGGCGTACCCCTCCCAGTTGCACCCTCCCCAGCAGAACCGCCTCCTAAGCCAGTCCCACCGTCACCAAGTCTACCCTCCCTGGTTCCCATCTCCCCACCACCACCAGCACCACCCTCCCCACGGGTTTCTGCCCCTCTCACCGCTTCCAACTCCTCCCTTCACCTCCCTCCTCCTGCCACTGCCTCTGCTGCTGCTGCTACTGCCGCTGCCCCTGCCGCTGCCCCTGCCACTGCCCCTGCCACTGCCCCTGCCACTGCCCCTGCCGCTGCCCCTGCTGCTTCCTCTCGCTCCCCAGCCACGTTTGGCAATCCTTCAAGTGAGGTCCTTCCCTCCCCCCCATCTCCCTCCCTCTGCTCCGCTCCCCCCTCCGCCTTCCCCTCCCCCTCGCTTTCCCCCACCCCCTCCGTCTCCCCAGCTTCTGATTCCCCAAGCTCCTCTATCCTACCCGAACCGGACCAACTCCTTCCCCTCTCCCCCTTCCCCTCCGCATCCTCCCTCGCATCTTCCCTCAATTCCTCTCGCTCCTTCGCCACTCCCACCAGTGCTGCCTCCTCCTTCACCCTTGCCACCGCAAGTGCCACTAGTGCTGCCGCTGCTTCTAGTGCTGCCACTGTAACTAGTGCCACTGCTGCCACTGCTGCTACAGCCGCTGCAGCTGCTGCAGCTGCTACAGCCGGGCAGGGGGCAGCAGCGGATCGCAGCATTCCCCGGTGGTGGGCGCCGGCCTATCCTCGCCCTGCCAGCCCCTCTTGCCGCTTCTCTCATTCCTCCTCTGTCGCTGCCTGGCAAGCATCTAGCGCTGCTGCAGCAGCTGGTGCTACTGGTGCCGCTGGTGCTGGGGTTGCTACTGCTGGTGCTCCTGTTGGTGTTCCGAGGTCACTCAGGGGTGATTATTTGCCAAACCTGCCGACTTGGCTCGGCCCGGAGCAGCAGGCGGTGGTTCGGTCGCGATCCCCGGCTCGGGTGCCCCCGTGGGTGGTGAGGGAGGGGGGAGGGCCTGCAGAGGCTGTAAGAGGGAGGAGGAGGTCGGCATCGGTCACTGCGGTGCAAAGGGTATGTGATGCGATGCACTGCGGTGCAAAGCTTATGTGATGCACGGGCATGTCTCTCATGTAGTTTAAGGGCATGTCATGCGATGCACAGGCATATCTTTGGTGTGGTACTAAGGGTTTGAGATGCACATTGAAGTCTATAACTTGTCTCCTCTTCTCCCCTCTCGCTGTCACATCTCTTCCCCGCCCTCTCCCCTTCACCTGCTTCCCCCATCTTGATCCCTCAACTTCCCAACCACACAGGCCCCACCTGCAACAGTCACACCCAGGCAGCCAACACCCCCCAGTGCCCACACCTCCCCTCTGCGCTCCATCTCCCCTCCCACCGCTTTCCACCCATCCGAACCGGAGTCCATCCCTGACACAAGCACAATGGGGAGGGGCGGAAGGGGGCGGATGGGACAGCGAGAGGAGTTAGGTTTATTAGAGCAGCAGCAGGAGGGGCAGCAGGGGAGGGGGTTGGGGGCACGGAAATGGCAGCTGTTGGCAGCAGCTGGTGCGGCAGTGCTGGTGGGGGGAGCAGTGGTGATGGCAGCGCAGCGACATCAACGGCTGAGATCGACCGGAGCGAGCAGCGATTGGGAGAGTGAGAATCCGAGGAGGAGGAGCAGCGACTCACGGAGCAGAGGCACCCTAGGCAAGGGGAAGGGCTCAGCTGAAGCGGGTTTGGAGGCAGCAGTTGGGAAGGTGGAGTCTGAGGGAGGGTTTTCCCACTGGCTGGCTTCTATGCCCACTGGCGCAAAGCTCAGTGAGAAGGAGTTTGATGAGAGGTAAAGTGGTGCTGAGCGGTGCTGAGCAGAGTAAGGAGCCTCTTGAATTTCTACAGTTCAGATTTACAACTTCCTTGCAAGAATATAAGGTAGCCTGCTGTATTATTTTTCTTCTCTGCTAAGACTTGCTAGATTCTGTTGTCACCCTTGGGACATTGCTCCCCAATTCGAGGTGACTTTTGAGTCGACTCAAAAGTCATTTTGTTTTCACCCTTGGGACATTGCTCCCCAATTCCCCAACGTCAGGTTCTCGGACCTTGAGAGGGAGGCAGTGGAGGTGGAGGAGGCGTTTTGAGTCGACTCAAAAGTCAAAAGTGAGAATTCACCCTGCTTGGTCTTTTTTCTTATCCTTGGGAAACTTTCCCCCCCAATTCCGTGGCTTCAGGTTCAAGGAGCTTGAGAAGGAGGCGGTGGAGGTGGAGGAGGAGTTTCTACGCTGTCTGGGGCCTGCCTATAACGAGTACGGGGACAACGATGACGATGAGGAGGAGATGATGTCCTTCATTGCTGCAGTCACCAGCAAACCCGCCCCGGTTAAGAGCGGTGCAGTAATCACAGCACCTGGTTTGGCTCACACAGCGATGCCAGCGCCAGCAACAGCAGCAGGATCAGCAGCAGTGAGAGAAGCAGCAAGCCGAGGGACTGCAGGCCGGACAGCAAGGGCAGCTGGGACAGCAGCGGCAGCAGGGGCAGCAGGGGCAGCAGGGGCAGGCACAGGGTCATGCTCCTTGCCTGAAGCCAGTGCTAAGGGAAAGACCTCGACGGGGGGAATTGCAGGCACTGGCGAGTTTGACAAATGGGCACCGTTTGATGAGGCACACTTGACCATCGACCCGTTCCAGGGGCGGAAAGGTTCCTGTGAGCGCAGCAGCAGCAATGCAGCTGGCGTGAATGGCACTCGGGGGGGAGCCAGCAGCAGCAGCTACAGCAGTGTGAGTGGTGCGAATGGCACACGAGCGAATATGAGCAGAAGCAGCAACAGCAGGTTGAGCAGCAATGGGGCATCTGAGAGAGGCAGCAGCAGCAGCGGGAAGGGATCGAGCAGAGGCTATAGTAATGGCAGTGGCAGAGAAAACGGCAGTGGCAATAGCAGTGGCAGCAGCAGCAGTGGTACGCACCGATTCTCAAGCCCTCCCAGGGAAGAGTCTCAGCAGCAGTTTGTACCGGGTCTTCTTGTAAGGAGAGCAACCCAGGAGAAAGCCAGCAGCAGCAGCAGCAGGGGCGCTGCAAGGTCAGCCGTTGCTGCTCCAGGGGCGGCTGCAGCAGCAGGAGGGGGCAGGGTTGGAGGCATGCCAGGAGGCACAGCAGCAGGGCAGAGGCGAGCGGCTTTCAGAATATCCGAAGAGCTTGCAGGAGAGTCGATCCAAACGCTGCTGGCTGGTGGATCAACACATACGCCCCGGGCTGGTGAGTCGATGCACACTCCCTTGAGAGGTGTTCCTAGGACCAGCGGCAATGGAGGCCAATCAGCCTCAGCCACGGATGCAGCAAAGGCTGCAGGAAAGGGTGCAGCTAAGGGTGCAGGGCGGGGTGTGGGTGGTGGTGGCTCTATCGGGAGGGCTGGAGGCCGTGTGCATGAGGTGCAGCCAGGAGAGACCCTTTCTGGGATTGCAGTGAGACAGGGGTGTACTGTTGCGGATATTTTGAGGGCCAATCCTCATATTACCTCGCCGAATTGTATTTATGCGCGTGACCGCCTTATGCTGTAGAAGAATCACAGCGTGCGTGTGTACTCGTGTGTGTTCTTCTTTCATCGTTGTTCACTTGACCCAGTCATATGCTTTTGACATAACAGTGAATGTTTTTATCCTCTCAAATCACCCTCAGCAGAGTCAGGATACTGAACTAGCAGAAATAAGCGCCCTCCCCCCCCCCCCCCCCCCCCCCCCCCCCCCTTAGTATGGTCTGTCTTGCCTGGTAAGGGAAAATTACATCGTAGTTTTTCATGATGTGGAGCGACAGTAGGATATAGTTTGGAATTGTCAGATTGTTGGTCTTCCAGTGAATCACAGCCCATAATTTCTGGACAACATGGCAAATCGTTGCCTCTTTTTTATCACCAATGCTGTATCTTTATTTGTTATCCATGAACTTTAGCAGAGTAGTTGTATGTTGTTTGCACATTCTGTAATATTCAGTGCTCGTCGTGTGCATTGAATGCAGAACATTCACACGTCACTAAATTACCTTCAACCATAACCAATAACCAATGAGAAGAAAGCGCGTTGTGGAGCCTAACAGACTTCTCATAGGCGGCAACTCAGAGATCATGATTATTGTCTTGTGAGAATCAGATTTATCATGGCGTTTGCGTTGATTCTCTCAAGATTAGGGAACCATTGGACAACACTTATGCAATGTCGCCACACAAGTACAGTAGCCCAGTTTTCCCGACGTGATTGAGGGCAGGCAACAGAAGATATACGAATGTTCGGTTTTGGCCAAGCATACGCCGAAGCCTTAGTTGAAATATATGGAGTCTTGAGACTTGAGTTTCCCTTCCTTGATGACAAGCAGCCCTACAGTCAGTAAACAATTTACAGAATACACCGCTTTAGCATGCGAGGCACGACACGTGAATTCACCCAGTTGAGCACGAATCAGCAAGTTGAAAGTATTCCAAAGCTTCAAGAAACACGGAGCCAGCGGTCTATCGGGGCATACTTCACCATCACTAGCGTCACACGGGCTCTGTGCAGAACCACCTTCGAGGCCAGCTTGCGCATGCATTTGCCACCCATCTCGCTCGATTGGTGCAAGCTGAGCAGAGTGGCATTCCCACAATTCTTGCCACCCATGCATGAGAGGTTCAGTACTTTTACCTAAGTAAAAGCCGTGTTCTCCCACCACACTGTCCTGGAGGTGTGTGAGAAGCCGTGTTCTCCCACCACACTGTCCTGGAGGTGTGTGAGTTTACAGCACAATCCACCTTTTTCAGCTCTGCTGCTCGAATACACCTGCGAGCTGCCCCAGAGGTGCAACGTTTGTGTACTGTACTCCTGGTGAGTCGTGAACAGCGATAAATCAATGAGGCCAGCATTCCTTGGGACCGACAGTTGTGAATCACGCGCCGTCCTGAACTGCAGTTTGCTAGCAATCATAAGGACGTACCACAAGTGGTGTGATGGGAGCTGCACAAGAATCCGGTGTGTGCCAGCGCACGACCCACCTAATGACGACCTTTCAAGAATTTCGTGGACAATTCGAAACATTTCGAGAACCAGTTGTTGCAGTTTCCTTTTGAGCTTACGAAGAGACACGTGTTGTAAAGGTACAACGAGAGGCTCAACCACACAGGGTTTCGAAAGGTACATGGAAAGGCACATTTGAATAGAGCATGGAAAATGTAGAGATACACAATTGAACGAAGAAACAAAAAACATACCATACTTGGTTGAAAAAAACATACCATACTTGGCACAAATGAGGCCTGTCTTGCCTGGTACAGTTGGTCTCATCTAGAGTATCTACAGTGTCTAGTCAAACAGAAGCGATGCCATGGCATTCTACACCTAGCTCGCGCTATGTTTACCGCCCAAACATATTTCTTACAGACACTCCTTGTGCGTTTTCGGGTAATGAGACGGGCACACAGAGACTCCGGGGCTAACAGTTTACAGCCACGATGCATTTAAGTCGAAAGAACTCAGTGATCCGAGAGAAGGGCGAAATTGGCGTTCACAAACTTTTAATTTTCGTCATCTGTCGAGGGGGATACACAACACTACCCCTTCTAAACCAGAAAACTACCTTCATCAATCGGATTGACCTAGAGAAAGTACCTCTAGATTATGAAGATACCGGCGGTGAATATAGCGCAGGCTAGGTGTAGATCAATTTACCATTCTGGGCAACTTTCTTTGTATATGAAACTCGAAGGGTTTTCGAGATATCTTCTAGATGGTCAGAAGTTTAAACCCTTTTGAGAGTGGGGAACCAAACTGAGTTGCAATGAAACTCGGCCCATTACGGTGTCTCCACAATGCTGGTTTTGCGACGTCGACTGATTCACAGTAAACGTAGTAGCCCCTCGTATCTAGGGTTGATAAATCGATTACGGAAAGGTTCAGGATGACTCATGAACAGAGAATGCGTTCTTACTGTGAGCTATAAATCTACAAATATGATTGGATTTGGTACTGTACTACAACATGACCTGCAAGTGCTCCACATTGGACGATTGAAAGTTGGACGGATGGGAAGAGAAGGAATTGAAAACCCAAACAGCACTCACTACAGTTTCCGCCATTGGTGGTCCAAATGCACCTTGCTGACCGACCAAGCTCCGTCAACAGAAAATCCAGGCAGTAAAAAAATACTTTACAAGCTGTACAGCTGTCAGCAATGCACGTAAAGGTGCACGCACGATGAATCACACACAACCACAACACTACGATATCGCGCTGCCCTCACAGCTCCACACATATCACAATCGTACCTTCAGTGACCTTCTTGTTCGCCCTCCATTTGAAGTTTTATTTCCACGAGCGCTCAAATCCAGAATCAATCAACCACGAGGTTACACGACTCTCACTTCTTGCCTACCAAAGCAGACGCTTAGCCTTCGCGGGATAAGTTATCCATATTTCTCTCAAAGTTTCTGATGTTTTCGAGCGGGGAAAACGGAGCCTGATGTGTGCCGTTCGTGCCGGAAAGGCCGTAATAATCCGCGGCGTGGAAGACGACGATGTTCGCGGCACGGCAGCGGCGGATCCTTCCATGCAAGCAACTAGAATGTGGTCGAAACAGGTAGCCCTCTAAATATTAGCACAGTTTTGCTTCTTAGTACCGCACTAAAACGGTCTAATTTCTCACATGCCCCAGACCGCATTTCATCGCTTTACATCCCGAGCAGCAGCTGCTTGCCACTCTGCCCCCAGATGACTCTTACTGAGAGTAATTGTGGGGATCTGCCTTTGGCGGGGACTTGATTTGCCACTACCCTTCATCGACACTGGGGCCTTGATTTGCAAGAACTGCCGAATTTCTTCCTAGGACTATCGTTCTCTCCCCCCCACCTTCCTCCACAACTCATTTACTACTTGCATGTAGAAGGAGATCACACTTTGCGGACATCACACTCCTCCGCCCCGGACCGAGCTCGGGCCGAGCTCCTTTACGTGCTGCCTGCTGCGGCATTCCCCGCTGTCTCTTGTCTCTTACGCATCCTCCCCATCTTCACCTCCCCCTCCCCCCTTCTTTTCCCTCCTCCCGCTTCGCGTCCCCCCCACCCTCTCTCCCGGCCCCTCCCCGCTTCCCCTCCATCCCGCTCCGCCTCAGGAGGACGCGACGCCACTGCGCCATGCACTGCGATACGGCACGAGGCAGTGGGGCGAGCTCGAGAGATGCTCCCTGCTGCTTGCCGCCGCACTCCCCTCGCTCTTCTCTGCCCCCCCTCACGACCCTCTGTCATCCCCTTCCCCTTCCCCCCTTTTCTCTCAGGAGGACGCAACGCTACTGCGCCACGCGCTGCGCTACGGCACGCGGCAGTGGGGCGCGCTCGAGAAGAGCTCTCTGCTGCCGCACCGGGACAACAAGTCCTGCTGTAACCGCTTCCTCTTCCTCAAAAAGTCAGCCGCCTGTTCCCCTGTTCCCTCGTTCCGCATAGAAGTTTCTCTCCCCCCCTCCGCTCTAATCAAACACATCACAAAGACTTGTTCCAATCCCTGCCTACTTGAAAAATCATTCACATCACTTCAGCTTCAAGCCTTCTACTACAGCTTGCATGCCGCGCCTATATTTCTGCGTCTTCCTGCTCCGGCCCTTCCACTCGCCTAACTACCTCCAACCTCCGTTAAACCCCTGTCAGACCCTTCCAAGACCCATATTGGAGCCTCATCTTGTCCGTCAAAACCCCCCACCGTGCAGAAAATTCACCGAAGCTCACCGGCGCTGGCAGGAGGGAAGGGACAAACGCTGCTCCGGAGAGAGGCCCGGAAGTCCCATGCAAGACAAGGAAGGCACGTCGACAAGCGGGCGGGCGGCAGAGAGCGTCAGCAAGTGGAGCGGCCACAAGGATACAGAAATCTCAGCAGGAGCAGGCGCATCTGCTGAAGCACCTGAAGCAACACCTGAAGCAGCAGCAGCTGCAGCAGCATCACCACCACCTCAAGCACTGGCAGTGGTGGCAGAACCAATGACGTACGGCCACCTGTCACTAGCGGCATGCGAGTGGCTGTTCCTGGGCCTGGGAGAGCCCAGGGACTGGCCTGAACTACACGACAACATTGCACTCACCGTTGCTGCCCTAAACGCTGGTGCAAGTGCTGCTCTTGACGGTGTTTTGGGCGCCGTTGGGAGCAGTAACGGTGCGCTGAACCATACTCGCATTGGTCCCGGCAGCGGAAGAGTAGAAAGGGGAGAAGGGGGAGGGGACCGATTTCCCCACTCAGATGGATTCCCTTCGTTGGTCTCTGGTGATGCCGCCGCCGCAGCTTCTGCTGCTGCTGCCAGAACTTTTAATCTTTCCTCTGCTCGCCATGCCCCCCTCTCTGCTGCTCTCCCTGCTTCATTCTCCGCTGCTCATGGCACTTTGTACAGTCCGCCTTCCCACCAACCCTCTGCCAGGCAATCGCCATTTTCTGGGCAGTCGGCATTCGCCAGGCATCCACCTTTTTCCGGGCAGACGCCTTTATTCGGGCAGGCACCATCTCCTACACCGGGTTCTGCGCTCCCTTCAGTCGGAGGAAGCTTCCCCCCTCTTGCAACGATTCTAGCTCGCCATGCTTCACGATTGCGTGCTAATACCACCGGTGCTGCTGCTGCTGCTGCTGCTGATTTTGCTGTTGACCGAACCGCCTGTGATTCGATGGCTTTTGGATCGTTGCAAGCAAATACCACTGATCCATCAGGTGATTTCCTGCCGTTGATTTCGACCGCGCCACAAGTCCGACGGAGCCTCGGCGACAGTGCTGGTTGGAGGCACAAGCGGAGGTTCGGCGATTTCCAAACGAGCTCTGCGGCTCCCTGTCGAATCACAGGTAAGGTCACGAACCAAGAGACGAGCCACGTTACGAGCCAGGCCACAAACCAACCAGGTTCGATGGTGCATGAAGCTACTCACACAGCAGAGAAGCGGGGTGATTCGACCCTCCCCCAGTTGGGTGTGATAAACCAACAGCTGCTCCTGCTTCAACAGCAGCGGCAGCAGCAGCAGCACGACGAGCAGCAGCAACAACAGCGCCAGCAGCAACAGCGGCAGCAGCAGAAGGCACTGCTAAAGCAGCAGCTACAGGAACTGCAGCAGCTGCAGGCTCGGCAGGAGAATCAGCAGCGGCTGCAGCAGCTGCAGCAGCAGCTGGAGGTGGCACAGAGCGAGCAGGTGAGCCAGTTGAGAGGAGGAAAGCATGAAAATTACGAATCGGAAGAAGATCAAGCTATGCAGCTGAATCCGCAGCAGCGGCAGCAACAGCAGCAGCAGCAGCTGCTGCTGCAGAACCAACAGCAGTTGCAGCATCGGCTGCAGCTGCTACAGCAGCAGCTGGATGCGGCTCAGAGCGAGCATGCATGCCAGTTGAGGGGAGGGAAGCTTGGGAGCGAGCAATGGTTGAAGGATCAAGAGATGCAGCAGCAGCTGAAGCAGCAGCAGCGACGGCTTCAGCAGCTGCAGAAGCAACTGGAATTGAAGCAGAAAGAGCAAGAAACTCAGCAGCAGCAGAGGGACCAACAGCAGCAGCAGCAGCCGAGGGACCAACAGCAGCAGCAGCAGCAGCAGCAGCAGCAGCAGCAGAAAAAGCTCCAGGCGCTCCCCTCTGTGATGCGAGAGTCCCTCCTCTCCCACCCGCTTCCTTCTCTCGAGATTCCGCCCCGCCAAACCCTGCAGAACCCTCACCAGCAATACCAGCACCAACAGCAACACCACCATCAGCAGCACCAGCATCAGCCGTCGCCTCAGTCCCAGGGGAGCAAGCAGAGTGCAGAAGGTGCAAATCGTTCCCCCAATTCCCTCCCAGTGTCTCCCATTGATCACGCTCACTCACCCCTGCACCACCCTCATTCGCCTCTAACCCATTCCTACCCATTGCTGACCCATTCGTACCCCTCGCTAGCCCACTCCCACTCCTCAATCTGCTTCCCAAACCACTCTTCCGCCTCTTCCCCTGCCCAACAATCCTCGCCCTCCCTCGCGACACCCAAACCCCCAAATCCCAAACTGCGATGCTCGGGGGAAACCCAGCAGCGGCCGAATATCCCCATCCTTCCGCACTCGTTGCCAAATATCCCTTTTCTTCCACACTCGTTTCAGTTCCCCTACCCTCCAGCACTAGCGGACACAGCAGCATGCCGACCCGCCCAGGCCTCGTTTGAAGCACCTCCGCAGCTGCTCTCATCCTCGCTTGAAGCACCCGCACAGCTACACCCCCCGCTCCTCCCCACTCGCCCTTATCCCTGGACCTCGCACCCTTACACCACACCTGCTCCCTTTCGCCCATTTCAGCGGCCGGCCTTATCTGCTTCAGCTCCCGCCTTTTTTGGTCCAACTCACACGCGGCCCTTTCCCCTCACTCCCCCGTCCTTTCGCCAGTCGTCTCCCACCTCTCACGCCCTGAATCCTCAGTCCACGAGAGAATCTGCCGTGTCCTTTCGCCAGACCCCGTATCCTTCCGCCCCGGCTTCTTATGATCCTTCTACTCCCCCACCTGTGACACTCGCTGCCACGCCTCCTCGCAACAGTCCGCACAAGCACCTTTCGCCACAATCACACCGAATGCTTTCGCCACAGTCACAGCAGCCTCCCTCACACCAGCACCTGCGCCCACTCTCCCCTCTCTCTTCCCCAACGGACCTGCAAGGCTCGGCAGCGCCAGGAGGCTCGGCTGAGCTTCGGCATAAAAGTGACAATATGGAGGGGCACATGAAGGAGGGAAACAGCGAAAGTGGCAGTGGGGGCGCAGCGAGCATGGCCTGTGACTATAACGGGCATGGCACGACGCCAGCTGCGGGCATGGGAATGGGAGAGGCGTGTGATTATAACGAGCCGCCAGCTGTCAGGCCTCGATCGGTGCACCTGGTACCAGCAGCCAGCAGATCTTTCACGTTCGGAGATCAGTACAAACGCGCACTTGCTTTTGCTGCCAGTGCTGGAACTGACGGTAACAGGGTAACCAACAGCGGTGCAAGCAGCAGGGAGGGGGCTGCCTTCGCCAGCCGTCTGGTTACCAACAAGTGGGTAACCAGTAACGCGGTAACCAGCACTTGGGTCGACGCTGCAGAGGAGAGGCAGGCTGGTGGAGAACCCAAGAGGACGAGGACTAGCAATAACAGCCCGCCAAGGGATGAGGCCCGGAGAATCGACAGATATGGTGACTATGATAGTAAGAGGTTCAAATCGCTCAGCGCGGATCACTTCCCTATTATCACCTCCCCCGGTGACTCTGAAGATGGTGACTGTAACGGCGGCGGTGGTGGGAGTAGCCTAAGGGAACCTACCCGGAAGCTGCGGCAGGGAACAGATGAGGAGGGAGCGGCAGCAGGCGGGGTTGGGGTTGGTGCTACTGGGATGGGGGAGGCTGGGTGTGGGACTAGCACGAGTGCTTCTGCTGCCGGTTCTGCTGCTGCTGCTGCTGCTGCTGGAAGTGGTGCTGGTGCTGCTGGTGCTTCTGCTGATGCTGCTGTTGCTGCTGCTGGGGTTGGCGACGCGGCACCCCACCCCAGCAGCAGTAGCGTCGCCATCGCCATGGTGGAGACGTATCAAACGCCGCTGGAACCCCGCGGTACTACTACCCATGACGCGACTGCTGACGGTGCTGCTCATGATGCTTATGATGCTGCTCGTGCTGCTGGTGCTGCTGCTGCCGACGCTGTTGATGGTGCAGAGGGTGCTGCTACTAACGGTGCGCCTTGTAACGGAAATGACGGTGGTACTAACGGCGAGGCGCCGTCCAATGCCTTCGATCCCGTCACAACTGCTGACATTGACATATCCTTCGTACTCGCAGCCGAGCCTCACAGTATCACCGGCGACGCTGCCGCCTGCCAATTCGGCGAATTAGGGTTTGAATTCGGGCAATCGCTTCTGCTCGAACCGTTCGCCGCCGCTGTGCAAGCCGTCGGACCGGTCAACCTGACAGAGGCCGGTCGTAATCTAACCGCAACGCATTGTCTGACGCCGGGAACCGCGCAGGATTTGACCGCGACGCATCCTGGTTCTACTGAAATGCGTACATGTGACTCGGGGATAATTATGCTACCACCGGTTGAGTTTGCCGTGCCGAGTGTTACCGCCTGGGACAATCACGAAGGAGAGGCAATGATGGATATGAGCTAGCGTTCCCAGGATCAAGTCAATCGGAGTACCTCTATTGTATTGCGAGATAATCTAAAATGCTATTTAATTCATATATATACTAACATACCTGGCTGGGATGCACGTTGCGGAAAAAGGACCCATACGGACTCGTGAGACGAAATAATACCGTAACGTGAAGACAAATCGACGCAGTGATCGTTCTTGATACCCTGCCTGCCTGTGGACGATGTGAAGGAACTGGAATTCATCAGCCATGGAAAATACCGAGTGCCGTTGAAGTTCTGCCTTCCGCAGTGAAATCTCGAGAATCTCAGAGAGCACATATTTCCGTGTCCACGCCACACATCAGGCCAGGCCACATGAATGGCACACCACCGCCGCTCTCCCCACTTACCCCCACGCCGCGATCTTCCCTTTGACATTATTTTTGTAACGGTTTCTATGCTGCATCTGATTTAGATCCTGGGCTCATTAGTACGCATAGGCTGGATGCTCCTGATAGAATATGCCGGTAGCAGTACAAGGCAATTAACCCGGCGAGCATTGAGCAGCAAATTACCATCCCTAGTCAGAAACAAGGAATGCAAGTTTTAGTAGTCATCCTAATGCACTGCACTGCCACACTTGCGCTATATCCATCCATCGTACTTGACTGACACCCCTGATAAATCTGCCTGCAAGTCGTTCAAGAAGAGCAACCATCATCCTCTCCCTCAGAAACAGACAAAAGCATTGACCCTGCCTAACCACCCTCTACGGCTCGTAATTCAGCATCGGACCAAGCCACTTCTCAGCCTCGGCAACCGGCATGCCCTTCCTCTGCGCATAATCCCCAACCTGATCCGACAAAATCTTTCCAACTGCAAAGTAGTGACTCTTCGGCGCCGCAAAAATCAGGCCAGAAACCGAAGCAGCGGGCAGCATAGCCATGGATTCAGTGAGCTGAATCCCCGTCTCCTCCTCAACATCCATAAGCCTCCACATAACCGGCTTTTCAGTGTGATCCGGCTGGCTGGGGTAACCCGGGGCAGGTCGAATACCCTGGTATTTCACCTTCAGCAGCTCGTCTACACTCAGGTTCTCCTCCTTGGCGTACCCCCACACCTCCTTCCGAACGTCCCGGTGGAGAACCTCCGCCGCAGCTTCGGCGAGACGATCGGCGATAGCCTCGGCCATGATATAGCTGAAGTCATCGTTATCCTCCTTGAATTTCTTCACCATTTCCTCGAGTCCAAAACCGGAAGACACCACAAACATTCCGAGGTAATCCTTGATGCCCGTGGTTGCGGGGGCAATGAAGTCAGAAAGGGCGAGGTAAGGATCGTCGTTCTCCTCCTTCTCTGCTTGCTGTCGCAGCGTATGCATTGTCTCAACGACCGTGCTCCTCGACTCATCATTATAAAGCACAATGTCGTCGCCCACCGAATTTGCAGGGTAAATCCCGACAACGCCCCGCACGGTCAGCTTCTTGTTCTCCACAATGTCCCGCAGCATCGCCTGCGCATCGTCGAAAAGTTTCTTCGCCTCCTGCCCGACCGTCTCGTCGTTGAAAATCTTCGGGTAACCACGGTTGGGGTACCTGCCCCTCAGTTGCCACACCTGGAAGAACGGATTCCAATCAATGGCTGCCAACAGCTCCTCATTGATTGGATAATCCTTATAGACCTTCTTCCCCAGCAGGTTCGGGACCACAGGAAGGTTCTCCGGAAGCTTCCAGTCTATCTGGAACTTCATGTCCCGAGCCTTGTTAATAGGCACGTACTTCCGATCCTGCAGCCCAGCATAGTGCTCCTCCCGAAGCTCCGCGTACGTCTCCCGAACGTCCGTCACAAAGTCAGCCGTGGCCGTCGGATCAAGCAAGCTGGAAACCACCGGGACGCTGCGGGAAGCGTCCAAAACATGGACAGTAGGCCCACTGTACACCGGCTCAATCTTGACAGCTGTGTGCATGCGACTGGTCGTGGCTCCACCAATCAGCAGCGGGATCTTGAACCCTTCCCTCTCCAGCTCCTTCGCGACCGTCACCATCTCGTCCAGCGACGGGGTAATTAACCCCGACAAACCCACCACGTCGGCCTTATGCTCCCGGCACGCGTCCAGAATCTTCGCGCACGGCACCATCACACCGAGATCAACCACCTTGTAGTTGTTGCACCCGAGCACCACCGCAACGATGTTCTTCCCGATGTCGTGCACGTCTCCCTTGACGGTCGCGATGACGACGGTGCCGGCGTTGGCGGCTTGCTCCACCTCGGGGTTGGCGAGGCGCGCCTCCTCCTTCTCCTTTTCCATGAAGGGGATGAGATGCGCCACGGCCCGCTTCATCACACGCGCACTCTTGATCACCTGTGGGAGGAGAGAAGGGGAAGGGGTTGAGTCAGAGAGGGTTGATATCAGGGTTGGCGAGGTGGGCCTCCTCCTCCTCCTTTTCCATGAAGGGGATGAGATGCACCACGGCCCGCTTCATCACGCGCGCACTCTTGATCACCTGTGGGACGAAAAGGTTATGGAAGGTGGCAGTGATTGGGGTTTGGTGCGGGTCAGAGGGGGGTGGTACACCGGTTGGCGAGGCGGCCCTCTTCTTTCTCCTTCTCCATGAAGGGAATGAGATGGGCCACGGCATGCTTCATCACACGCGCGCTCTTGATCACCTGTGGGAGGAGAGAAGGGGAAGGGGTTGAGTCAGAGGGGGTTGGTATCAGGGTTGGCGAAGGCGGGCTTCCTCCTCCTCCTTTTCCATGAAGGGGATGAGATGCGCCACGGCCCGCTTCATCACGCGCGCACTCTTGATCACCTGTGGGACGAAAAGGTTATGGAAGGTGGCAGTGATTGGGGTTTGGTGCGGGTCAGAGGGGGGTGGTACACCGGTTGGCGAGGCGGCCCTCTTCTTTCTCCTTCTCCATGAAGGGAATGAGATGGGCCACGGCATGCTTCATCACACGCGCGCTCTTGATCACCTGTGGGAGGAGAGAAGGGGAAGGGGTTGAGTCAGAGGGGGTTGGTATCAGGGTTGGCGAAGGCGGGCTTCCTCCTCCTCCTTCTCCTTCTCCATGAAGGGGATGAGGTGCGCCACGGCACGCTTCATCATGCGCGCGCTCTTGATCACCTGTGGGAGGAGTGAAGGGGAAGGGGTTGAGTCAGAGGGGGTTGGTATCAGGGTTGGCGAGGCGAGCCTCCTCCTTCTCCTTCTCCATGAACGGAATGAGATGCAACACGGCCCGCTTCATCACACTTGCACTCTTGATCACCTGTGGGTAGGGAGTGGTGGGGGGGGGGGGGGGGGGGTGTTGGGGGGACAGGGAGGATGGGGAGGATGGGGAGGTTGGAGAGGGTGGGGAGACTCATGAACGTTCAAGGCACCCATGAGCAGGGACCCCTCGAAGATGTGCAGGGGCCCCCTCGAAGATGTGCAGGGGCCCCCTCGAAGATGTGCAGGGGCCCCCTCGAAGATGTGCAGGGGCCCCCTCGAAGATGTGCAGGGGCCCCCTCGAAGATGTGCAGGGGCCCCCTCGAAGATGTGCAGGGGCCCCCTCGAAGATGTGCAGGGGCCGCACATACTGCCCACACGCCCTCGCCGCCGTTCGTCCGTCCGTCCGTCCGTCCCTTCCCCCTCGTACCGTACCGTACCGTACCCCACACATTTCGGCAATCCAAAACATGAAAACGAACAGTTTCAAAAGGGAAAAGAGGGCTCACCTGCGGGAGGAACATCTTGCCGGCGCCGAACAGGTCTCCCACCACATTCATGCCATCCATGAGCGGCCCTTCGATAATATGCAGCGGCCGCACATACAGCCCACACGTCCGCGCCTCCTCCACATCCGCCACCACGTACTGGTCTATCCCCTTTACAAGCGAGTGCGCTAACCGCTTCTCCACCGACAGCTCCCTCCACGCGTCCTTCTCGGCCTTATCCCCGCCACCGCCCGCCTTCGGGTCCAGTCTCGCCGCCAACTCCAGCATCCTCTCGGTCGCATCTGGCCGTCGATTCAGCACGCAGTCTTCCACATGATCTAGCAGCTCCTTGGGAATATCATCGTAGATATCGATCTGCCCCGCGTTCACAATCCCCATATCCATCCCGGCTTTGATCGCGTGGTACAGGAAGACAGAGTGGAACGCGCGGCGCACGGGCTCGTTCCCGCGGAACGAGAACGAGATGTTCGACACGCCGCCTGAAATCTTCGCTCCCGGGCAAAGCTCCTTAATCCGGGTAGTCGCCCTAAAAAAATCGACCGCGTAGTTGGCGTGCTCCTCCAATCCCGTCGCGATCGTCAGAATATTCGGGTCGAAGATAATATCCTCGGGATTAAACCCAACCTCATCCACCAGAATATCATACGCCCTCTTGCAGATCCGCACTTTGTCCTCTTCTGTGGCGGCCTGCCCCTCCTCATCGAAGGCCATGACGACAACCGCCGCCCCGTGACGCTTGATGGTGTGTGCGTGGGCGCGGAAGGCCTGCTCGCCCTCCTTGAGGGAGATGGAGTTGACGATGCACTTGCCCTGCGAGCACTTGAGCCCCGCCTCCACCACGTGGAACTTGCTCGAGTCGATCATGAAGGGGACCTTGGCCACCTGTGAGTGGGGAGGAGGGGGAAGGGAGGCAGTGCAAGGCAAGGAACGAGAGCTCGTCGAAGGGCACACGGGCACTTGAGCCCCGCCTCCACCACGTGGAACTTGCTCGAGTCTATCATGAAGGGGACCTTCGCCACCTGGAGTGAAGGGGAAGGGGAGGGGAGAGGAGGAAGTGCGAAGCAGGAAGTGAGAACACGTCAGGGTCATGGGCGCTTGAGCCCCGCCTCCACCACGTGAAACTTGCTCGAGTCTATCATGAAGGGGACCTTGGCCACCTGGGAGTGGAGAGAAAGTCAAGAGAGTGAATGCTATCACTTGCCATTCCCCTTCCCTTATCCTCTTCAACCACACTCGCCATGTCCCACTTGTCCTTCCATTCCCCTCCATCCAGTTGCCCCCCCCCTTGCCCCTACCCTTGGCCATTCCGTTGCTCCTTCCCTTACCCCTTATGGAACTCACATCAGGCTCAGAGACGAGCAGGTTGACGAAGCGGGTCATGGCAGCAACCGAGTCCAGCAGCCCCTCCTCAGAATTGATATCGATGATCTGTGCGCCCGCCCCTCTTTCCCCTATGCACCCCCCTGACTAGACTCACGTCAGGCTCAGAGACGAGCAGGTTGACGAAGCGAGTCATAGCAGCCACCGAGTCCAGCAGCCCCTCATCAAAGTTGATGTCGATGATCTGCGCGCCCGCCTCCACCTGAGCAATAGCAATGCTGAGCGCCTTGTCCCAGTTGCCCGCCATCACCGCCTTCTTGAATATGCTCGACCCCGCCACGTTGCACCGCTCGCCGATGTTTATAAAGGGGATGGTCTCCGGCGTGTAGTTGAAGGGCTCCAGCCCGCTCACTCGCATCAGGTTGCGCACTGACGGACGGGGACGGGGACGCACGCCCTCCACCTGCCAGGAAAATAAAGGTTCAGGGTTCAGGGGTCAAAAGAGTGTAAGGGGAAGGTCTCAGGCGTGTAGTTGAAGGGCTCCAGCCCGCTCACTCGCATCAGGTTGCGCACTGAGGGACGGGGGCGCGGGCGAACTCCCTCCACCTGCCAGGGTTCAGGGTTCAGGGTGGAGAATCAAAGGACGAGGGATGCTCCCCGGTTGACGGTTGAAGGTTCAGGGTTTTTAAGCCGCCCAGCAGTTCCCAGCCCCCACATCCCTGCACGGCACTCAACATCTTAGGTCGTATCTCCAGCAAGTGTCAAGAGGGGCTAGTGTCATGACACCAACTCGAAAACACATGGAGGACTATCCCTCCTGGTGTCAGCTAAACCAACCAATGAGATCGCGGGAAATCGTCCAATGTGCCCAACATTGACACCAGGCTGGAGCCGCGCTCACACGCGGCTCCACTTGGTGTCAACCGTAAACAACGCTTGACACCAAGCCTTTCTTGACACTTGCTGGAGATACGACCTTAGAGACAGCGTTGATGTGGTCGGGTTGGGTTGGGAGTGGTGTCGCAGCAGGCCCCCAACACAGTCACTAGCCCGCCCATGGCAAAGTCCCACAAGCAATCCCCCCATGGGGGCCCTGTAGGGGGATTGCTAGCCCGCCCACTAGCAATCCCCCTAGTGGTGTCGCAACAGCCCCCCACGCATGCACCCCCTACAGGGCCCCCACATCCCTGCACTTACGATCTTAGAGACAGCGTTGATGTGATCAGGGGTGGTGCCGCAGCAGCCGCCAAGCACGTTCACTAGCCCTCCCGTCACGACATCCCCCACGTTCTCCCCCACCCACTCCCACCTCTCAAACCTCCCATCTCTACACACTCCCGCCTCCCCCCCTTCCCCACTCTCACCCCCTTCCCATCCCCACACCACCCCATTCTCACAGCACTCACGATCTTAGAGACAGCGTTGATTTGGTCTGGGGTGGTGCCGCAGCAGCCGCCCAGCACGTTCAGCAGCCCGCCTGTGTCCAAGTCCCTCACGTCCCCCGTCTCACACAAGTTGACTTTTGAGTCGACTCAAAAGCCGGCCAGCTCGTTCAACAGCCCGCCTGTGTCCAAGTCCCTCACGTCCCCCGCCTCACACAAGCACTCCCCCCCCCACATTTCCGCACGCACACGCCCCCTACAGGGCCCCCACATCTCCGCACTCACGATCTTAGAGACAGCGTTGATGTGGTCGGGGGTGGTGCCGCAGCAGCCGCCCAGCACGTTCACCAGCCCACCCGTCGCGAAGTCGCGCACGTTCTCCGCGAACTGCGCGGGCGTCTCGTCGTACCCGCCGAACGTGTTGGGCAGGCCCGCGTTCGGGTAGCAGATGACGAACGAGTCCGTGAGCTGGAGACGGGGAGAGGTGGGATTTGGGAGCAGGATAGCGGGAGCGGGGAGGGGGGCAAATGAGTGGGAGAGCGCAACTGCTGCGCAGGCGTTTCGTTGTACCCGTCGAACGTGTTGGGCAGCCCCGCGTTCGGGTAGCAGATGACGAACGAGTCCGTGAGCTGGAAGCGGTGAGAGGGGACAGGGGGCACGGAGGGAATTCGCGGGAAATCGAAGAATGCGGGTAAGGCGGGGAAAGGGGAGTGGGGGGAAGGGGGAAATGGGGGAATGGGGTAATGGGGGTAAGCGGGGAGATGGGAGAATGGTACAGAAAACGGTGGGATGCGATGCGCCTACCTTGTTGATGGTGTCCACGTATGGACGCATGTCCCTCGCTGCATGTTCACACGACTCAAAGCACAGACTAAATGCGCCTCAAACCCGTATCGCCCGAATCGCGCCTACCTTGTTGATGGTGTCCACGTATGGACGCATGTCCCTCGCTCCCAGCGCGCAGTTCAGTCCAATCGCCATCGCCCGCGCGTGCGACACGCTGACCAAGAACGCCTCGCCCGTCTGCCCGCTCAGAGTCCGCCCGCTGTTGTCCACAATCGTACCGCTGATCATCACCGGCACATCGTACCCAACCTCCTCAAACACCAAATCCACCGCGTACAACGCCGCCTTGGCGTTCAGCGTGTCGAAGATCGTCTCCACGAGGAGGATATCCGCGCCGCCCTTGAGCAACGCGTGCACCTGCATCTTGTACGCGTCCACGATCTCGTCGAACGTGCATGCGCGAAACGCGGGGTTCTCCACGCTAGGCGACACGGACAGCGTCTTGTTCGTCGGGCCGATCGCGCCCGCCACGAATCGCGGGCGCGTCGGGTCCTTCTGCATCGATTTCGCCGTGGCGCGCAGCGCGACCTTCACCGCCTCGATGTTAATCAGCACCACCTCCTCCTCCGCCTGCAACTCATAATCCGCCTGGGAGATACACGTCCCATTGAACGTATTCGTCTCGATAATATCCGACCCCGCGTCCAAATACTCCGTATGAATCCCTTCGATAACATCGGGGCGCGTTATAACGAGGATATCGTTGTTGCCCTTGAGATCGTTAGAGTGATTAATCCAACGGTCACCGCGGAAATCCTCCTCACGGAGCTTGTGGCGCTGGATCATGGTACCCATGGCGCCGTCCAGCAGCAGGATGCGCTGCCGCATCATCGCCTCCAGCGACTCGAACAGATCGCGCCGCACCATCGCCACGTTCTTGCTGCCGTCCTCGTTAGTGGGCGACTCGGGATCGACACGAGACTCGCCGTCCACAATGAAGCTGAGATTCAAGGGAGTGGGTATGCGGTAAGGGGGTTGCGGCAGTGGTGAGCGAAAGTGACGAGCGTATAGGGTAGCTTCGTATCAGTGACAGTGCTATTCTTTTAGATCACTTACCAACCAGATTCCTATGATTGACTTGGTTAGCTGCATTCCCAACAAATATGTATCATATCGGTCACTGAGGGAAAACACAGCCGATCCGGACTAGCTGCGTCCGGATTTTCAGCACCATACGCACCTGCGTTCGATCGTTCCCTGGGGGCACGTGTGATTGATGTAGAACTGCCCGGGTCAGAACCGGACGGATCCATCCGGCACGAAATCATTTCTGAGTCGACAGATAAACGCACCTGTATTCGATCGGTCCCTGCGGGCACGTGTAATCGATGTAGAACTGGCCCGGGTTGGCAGAGGACGGCTTCATCGCAACCGGCACGCCGGCGGAGAAATCCCCCACCACCTCCACCTTGGACCCTCCATACGGCCAGATGAACTGCGTGATCCCCAGCTCTGCACGCACAACGCGCGGACAACACTGCCATGTTACTGAATCCTTTGAAGGTAATAGTAATGTAACGTGCAAGTAGGATTGATTATTGTAGTTGATCGCGTGAGCAGTAACGAGTGACTGATGCGGCAGGAGGCGGATTCTACGCACGTTCTGGTCTCACAGACGACGGTGGGACGTGCGCGCAGGTTCGGACCTGCTTAACCACTTACTGTCTTCCGCCTTGGGAGGGGGACGACGCCCGGCGGCCAGCGGGATGACTCCTCCTAGTTAAGAAAGACGCAGATGGAATAAGGGACACCGGAATAAGACGCACTCGTAATAACGACGCAATTGAAATAAGATCAAAGCGTTTTAAGAAAGCATCCAGAATAAGGGTTTGGTAAGAACGATTGTCCGTGTACTTTCTGGCAAAATACTGAACCATAGCACTGAAATCTTTGTTATTTCGTAAGGGAATGAACGTAGACCAATTATATTCTGAATTCACCTCTTTCCAAAAGCAAATTGTTTAACGTCGGCCTTACCTGCAGCAGCAGTCTTGGGAGCGGAAGGCACAACGGGAGGAGCAGCAACAGCGGCGGCGGCGGCGGCGGCAGGTTTCTCCTGCTTAATTGTGGCAACGGACGGCTCCGCAGCAATGCGTTTCTCAGGCGTTGCTGCGGTGGAGACGGTCGACGACTCATCGCTCTTCCTCGTAGAGAAAAACGCGAAAAGAGCTCCGAAAAGGGCTGCGATCACGATGACTACCGCGGAATGCGCGATCGCACGCCAGGCCACTGCTACCACGAGGATGGCTACCGGCGCTACAGACTGACGCGCTATGCGACTGAAGTCCATGGTTGGAAACTGCAACTCGACCCAGCAGGGTCACGACGCGGCAAGTGCGGAAAGCAGCCAGCCTAACCACCAAGCAGCGAGATTCCGCTCAAGAAGACGACAATTCCCAAGGTTTTGGGACAAAAACCAGCAAGAGCTAGCTCAAATCTGACAGTATTACTGAAGAGGAGGAAACCTTGGTTTTCCTGGTTGTCAAGATCAGACTGAGAAGTGTAGCAACAGTAAGGTGAGGAGGAAAAGGAGATGAGGAGGAAGAGGGGGAAAGCTCGAAGTCAGCTTCGGCGAAGAGAGCTGCGAATTCTTCACGACGTTCGTCCAACTCTGAATCTCGAGACACGGGGACTGTCGCGACAACGACAAAATCTTGGCGAGTTTTGCGAATCCCGAGGCTCGGCAACGTTTGGGGGAGTGTCACAGTCTTCTCCCAAGGTGCTCTCCCGCTCTCCTGTAGTCGTGGGATGAACGAGAACGTTCCACGTGGCGATAGGCTTTTGACGATGTGTCAGAGGTCACTGGGACTGGTGCGGCCAACTTCATTAATACTCACATTATGCCAGAGATGTTTTGCATACGTAATCAATCAATGATTTCGCAGTATAGTAACTACAGATACTAGTTTCTGGTATAATAAGCACAACCCTGAAACAATGTCGCCACCAGCAGCTCCGCACATACCCAACAAAAAAGGAAACATACAAAAACGCTTGGATAACCAGGATGAAATTTGGAAATATTTACACTAAAGTGAGGGTGGGTTTAGGGCATGTGACAGGAAGTTCTCAAGTGCTTATGATTATCTGCTTGGACAAACGATACCGCCCAACGGAGCTTGCTACCCGTGGGCAATTAAAAAAAAATTCCCTCCTGCTAAAATGCATCAATTCATAATGGCATTAATCCTAAAAACATTGTTGAGTGATATTTAGAATTGATGCCATCCAATGGGTTTTTTTTTTGTACGAGGTCAGCAGGTCCACGGTCGGTGGAGGAATAATGGTGCCGTCAACCCTAATTCGTTGATTTATTTCAAGTATGCATCGTTTTTTTCAATGGGGGTTTTTTTTATCTCACGAAATTTGTGCTTGATGCAAATTTTAATGGGTTGAGTATTCAATGATTTTTTCTGTCTATTCTTATGTAGCACCTCGACAGAACAGTGTATATTTGAGTTCGGTAATTGCGCTCTGTTTCTGTCACATCTCGAGGGTATTATTACGTACAAAGTGTGATTGAAAAGCGAGCACCAATCAGTGATGAGAAACCGAGGTTGAGTACCGACGCAATACGTCTCTGGCATAATTTGAGTATCAATGAAGTTGGCTGGGGACTGGTGCCTCCGATCCCTCCTGTCATGAGACATGCTGACGCGGCTCGGCAGAATTGCTTCGCATGAACCATGGATTGTATTGTACATGTCAGTTTCAACTCACTAGAAAGATGCAGATTTACTGTGACCATATCGAGGAATGAGCATGACACACACATGCAATTTATGAAGTAAAATATAAATGTGATTATCAGAACCACATCGCGCATTATCAGGCTCGTATCACACAAGTAACCGCACAACCCAGTCTCCGCCGCAGCCATGGCGTCGATAATCTCCTCCGCCGTGCTTCCCGCCGCCGTCTCCGCGCCCGTCCTGCCACCTCTGCGGAAAATTCGCGCGAATGGCGCCAGTTTCGCCGCGTCCCTGAGGTCGCGGGGTCCGCGTCCCCTCGGCAGCACGTTTCAGGTCCGAGTTCTGGCGCATTCCGCCAGCACTGGCAGAAACTGCGAAGTTATATCCGGGGATGCAACGCACGCCTAGGTTTCTTCTTACGTCGGCGCACATTTCATTCGTTTCTCCCCGTCCCTCCCCCGTTTCCACAATTTCCACCGTTTTCCGCAATTTCCGCAATTGCTGCCGTCTCCGATCATTTCCGTCATTCCCCATTCGCGCCCCCGTTTCCCGTCCGCTACCCCGTCCGTGGTTCTCAGGGCACGCCCTTTCAGGGCGCTAAGATTCGCGCGCAGCGTCACTACGCGGCGCCCGCAGCGGGAGGCGCGGCGGTGGTGGCGGCCGCGTCGCCCAAGGGGACGGGGAAGGGCACGGTGGTGATTGAACCCGATCCGCGCATCCCCATCGTGCTGCTCGGTGCGTCTCGTATCATGTCATGCCATACCTTCAAGTCGATTTGCTTGGTGTCTGTTGTGCCGTGCTCTCTGTTTTGGTATAACCCTCTAAACGGGAAGGCCACGGTGGTGGTTAAACCCGATCCGCGCATCCCCATCGTGCTGCTCGCTGCGTTCCATGCCGTGTCCTGTCATCATCCCTTTACGTCGAGTTGCTTGGTGCCTGTCATGCCGTGCTGTCTGTTTTCGAGTCAAAACGGGAACGCCACGGTGGTGGTTGAACCCGATCCCCATCATGCTGCTCGCTGCGTGCCTATGCCATGCTGTCGTGTCTTTCATGTCCGTTTCTGCAATTCTTAGTCCTTAATCTCCGTGCCTTTCATCCCTACAACCACACCCCCCTCCACCTGTTCCCCTTTCCCCCCTTCCCCCATGTCCCATCAGGTGTATCAGGAGCTCTCTTCCTGGCAGACAACAAGCTCGCAGCTGCTCCCATCGGCCTGCTCGGAGCACTGCTCGCCTTCCAGGTGCCTTTTCTCTGCCTCAGGTGGTCTTCAGGTGGTTGTCAGGTGGTCTTCAGGTGGTCTTCAGGTGGTCTTCAGGTGGTCTTCAGGTGCGTTTCTCACATCTTGTCGTCTTATACTTCTTGGTCCTTATGCTGACTCCTTCCTGCTGCCACTATGGTTCCGTGGCTTTCCCAGTCGACCCACAGTGGGTCATGCTGCCCACAGTGGGGTGGCTTTGGCTGCAATTAACCCATGTCACGTGAAAGAAGGAGTGTTTTGAGACGTCTCAAAACAATTAACCCATGTCACGTGAAAGAAGGAGTGTTTTGAGACGTCTCAAAACAATTAACCCATGTCACGTGAAAGAAGGAGTGTTTTGAGACGTCTCAAAACAATTAACCCATGTCACGTGAAAGAAGGAGTGTTTTGAGACGTCTCAAAACAATTAACCCATGTCACGTGAAAGAAGGAGTGTTTTGAGACGTCTCAAAACAATTAACCCATGTCACGTGAAAGAAGGAGTGTTTTGAGACGTCTCAAAACAATTAACCCATGTCACGTGAAAGAAGGAGTGTTTTGAGACGTCTCAAAACAATTAACCCATGTCACGTGAAAGAAGGAGTGTTTTGAGACGTCTCAAAACAATTAACCCATGTCACGTGAAAGAAGGAGTGTTTTGAGACGTCTCAAAACAATTAACCCATGTCACGTGAAAGAAGGAGTGTTTTGAGACGTCTCAAAACAATTAACCCATGTCACGTGAAAGAAGGAGTGTTTTGAGACGTCTCAAAACAATTAACCCATGTCACGTGAAAGAAGGAGTGTTTTGAGACGTCTCAAAACAATTAACCCATGTCACGTGAAAGAAGGAGTGTTTTGAGACGTCTCAAAACAATTAACCCATGTCACGTGAAAGAAGGAGTGTTTTGAGACGTCTCAAAACAATTAACCCATGTCACGTGAAAGAAGGAGTGTTTTGAGACGTCTCAAAACAATTAACCCATGTCACGTGAAAGAAGGAGTGTTTTGAGACGTCTCAAAACAATTAACCCATGTCACGTGAAAGAAGGAGTGTTTTGAGACGTCTCAAAACAATTAACCCATGTCACGTGAAAGAAGGAGTGTTTTGAGACGTCTCAAAACAATTAACCCATGTCACGTGAAAGAAGGAGTGTTTTGAGACGTCTCAAAACAATTAACCCATGTCACGTGAAAGAAGGAGTGTTTTGAGACGTCTCAAAACAATTAACCCATGTCACGTGAAAGAAGGAGTGTTTTGAGACGTCTCAAAACAATTAACCCATGTCACGTGAAAGAAGGAGTGTTTTGAGACGTCTCAAAACAATTAACCCATGTCACGTGAAAGAAGGAGTGTTTTGAGACGTCTCAAAACAATTAACCCATGTCACGTGAAAGAAGGAGTGTTTTGAGACGTCTCAAAACAATTAACCCATGTCACGTGAAAGAAGGAGTGTTTTGAGACGTCTCAAAGCAATTAACCCATGTCACGTGAAAGAAGGAGTGTTTTGAGACGTCTCAAAACAATTAACCCATGTCATCCAAAGCCTCCCAATTCCCGATCCCTTTCCCCATTCACAACCCCCCACCCACCGCAGACCACGCGCGTGCGCTTTGTGTTCGGGGAGGAGGCACTGGAGGTGCGCATAGGGCAGCATGAAAGCATGTAATGGCATGACAAATGCACCTCCCCTACCACCCCCCCCCCCCTCTCTCCCATCCCCCGCCCCTCCTTCTCAGACCACGCGGGTGCGCTTTGTGTTTGGGGAGGAGGCACTGGAGGTGCGCATAGGGCAGCAGCTCGAGTCGTCGGGGGAGAACGTGTTTGTGGGCGGCGAGAACAAGTGGAGGTGAGAACAAGTGAACGCGGAACATGGCACGCTGTGAATGCGGAACATGGCACGCTGTGAACGCGGAACATGGCACGCTGTGAATGCGGAACATGGCACGCTGTGAATGCGGAACATGGCACGCTGTGAATGCGGAACATGGCACGCTGTGAATGCGGAACATGGCACGCTGTGAATGCGGAACATGGCACGCTGTGAATGCGGAACATGGCACGCTGTGAATGCGGAACATGGCACGCTGTGAATGCGGAACATGGCACGCTGTGAATGCGGAACATGGCACGCTGTGAAGTGAAATTTCGAGGTCTTTTTGGTCCCTTCCTCCCGTCCCTTCTACCCCTCCCTGTTCTCTCCATCTCACCAGGTACGACACATTCGTCAACTGGTGCTTTTGAGTCGACTCAAAAGTCACCCCTCCCTGTTCTCTCCATCTCACCCTGTCCCCTCCCTGTACGACACATTCGTCAACTGGTGGCCAGCCTTCCCCGTGCTGGTTCACTTCAAGGAGACC